ACAAGTAATTGTCCTCTGTCTGCCAACACTCTATGAATTGCAGAAGTAATGACCATAACGGATCTTCAACGAACGTCACAACATCCAGACGTGAACATGAAGGATAGGCTTCTCCAAATTGTGAGAACTAGTTCCTTACCGTTTGGAGGCTCTATTTTAGCCTAGGACAGGTCGCGTTGTTTCTTGATTCCTAATTTTGTTGCTAACATTTATGGTATTTTAAATTTTTTAAACATTGACGAACCATTATTCAGTCATTTTGAATCGGGTGCTATTTGCAGTTACTTCTCGTTCTACAAACGTCAATTTCTGTAACTTGCCGTTGCGCACGCTTTTTGGATTAGCAGCCTTTCATATAGCTGCTTCAGAATTTTTTAAACTCATTTTTTATGTGAAAGATGAGTGAAAAGTACCGAAGTTATTTTAAAACACCAGCTCACGCTGACCTTGCAAATTAGCCGATTTTGGTAATCTGTTTAAAACCAGGTCAAAGGTCGTTTTTTGTGTAGCTGAATTTAAATTTTGCTGGAAACACGTCCTGAAGTTAATTTACTTCAAATGCTCAGACATTTAATATTCCCTTATTACATTTACGCTGCTTATATTGTTTTTACACCTGGAATATATTTGTTTAATCGGAATTTTTCAAAATATATTTTGTGAATTTAAACAATTTTACAAAATAAAGGATCTGGAGTGGACTACATGGTAGTGAGCACGAGTTTCGACAGGGTTATATGTTTAATTATTTCATTGTAATAAAGTGAATTCAAGGAACATCAGATATTTTCGTTGTTGGCTTTAAGTAAATCCCGAAGCGATGATTTTGAACGTTATGACTGATCTGATTCACGACAACCTTAATCGAACGCCAACATGAATTTCCTATCAACTTTCTGCTTCATTAAAAAAAAACAGATTAATTACACTTCGACAACGCCTGTTTTTGGCAATACTGTGGATTATCGTGGAAGCAATCCACATGATGGTTTTAGATTTCATGGAATCTTCGAATGCTGATGCACCAGATGCGAACCTGCTCTTCAAAACTGCTTTTTTTCCTGTCTTAAAACCCTCTTAGAATTTGAGGTCTGTGTTCTTTCTGAAACCATCGTCACCGTTTGGAGCATTATTTCAAACGTCACTTCAATCCCGTAAGTTAGGAAAATACCATTGACTCACGTAGTACTGACGAAGAACCGGGAAAATTTGGATTATAGAAATGAGGCATCACGCCAAGTCTGCTTGGAGCTGAGTCGTTTCCTCTTCTCCGCGAGCATGTGTACCAATCTCTGGGATCTCCCTGGTCGTAGACATGAGTCATCGGGTAGGAGGCAGTCATTGGTCTTCGCGTAGGTCTGTACCCTTCTGCCAGGGGATCACTAACGAAAGAGGACTGGCGACCCCACCGAGGTGAGTAATATGCCTCGTCGACGGAGCAGCCTCGCCTCAGGCCTTCTTGAAGCATCGGAGGTCGTCGTCCCCAGGCGGCCGATCCACAGGAATCAGGCTCAAGAATCAAGATATCCGTCTTCGGTGTTGAGCTAATAATCCGCTGTTCCGTGTACCCGTACTGCGAGGCTTCCGATTTTGCGGCTCTTCTTGGCAACGGCGGTGGTGACGCAAACTCCGGAGGTTGGGGAGGTGGAGCTCGGCGTTTCGGCGGGGTCGAGCCCTCCTCGGACATCCACGTCGGCGGTGTGGGCTCCGAAGACATCCGTTTGAGCATCCGACGCCGAATATGGCGTTGAGGCAGGTCACACTGATAGGGAGGCATAAAGTATGCTGGTTCGAGGGTTCGATAGGGGCAGGCGCTGCAATGAAAAAAGGGGCTGAGCATGGAGGAGCCTGTTCGGCAGGCAAGCGGAGGTGGTCGAAAGGAGCAGGTGTGCGTGTGGGGCGGTGGTGGGCGTTCACACCAGCAGGGTTGAGGCAGGGTATCGAATCTTCGCCTGCGAAGATGGTCCACATCACCAGTGACGCTGGGATTGTCCATGGATGGTTCTGTCTCCCCCTCACCTTCTTCTTCTTCCATGTGAATTGTGGTCACTGGGGGGTTAGGATGGTCGTAATACGTCGGGGTTTTGGGGCACGAGGCTCGTCCATAACGGCCGTAAAATAGGCGTCGGTTCTGCTGATAGAGTGAGCTCTGCATGTTAAGGGTCTCCATTGACGCCGCCCAGTCAGGCGCAGGGTCATAACCCACTTCTAGACTGCTGCGCTGACGGGAAATCAACGGCCGAGGCGCGCTGGACCAATTCCGCCTGGCCCAATCCGGGACGTAGCTTGTGCAATGGTTGGCATAACGCAGCGTAGAGCCAGGGTGGGTGTCGTCGCCTTCGCATTCACCGGAAACGACAATCTTCGTTCGTACAGCCGTCGATAGTGTTGGGCAGTGAAGCCGCGCAGCATCAGTCTGTGGCCGGGGTGTTTGTGAATGCGGCTGTGTCGACACGGCCTGGGAGTGCTCAGAAGCCGTCAGTGAGAGACTGGCTCTCTGTCGAAATCCAGCCTCCTCGGAATTGGGACTATTAGCATCGCGGCTTGTGACGTAGTCCATGGAGGATATTCCCGAGTCTTGGGTCCTCACGGTGCCCGGCTTCAAGAAGCTGGAGCTCTGAGTCGAGGTTTCCGCGTGGTTCTTCAAGACTCCACTACAAGCAGACAGCGGCTCCTTCTCATGGGAGAAGTTTTCCCTTCTTGCGGCAGCTCGCGCCGCCAGTGTCCACAGCCTCCGTCTACGCTGACTTGGCATTCGACTGAACGACTGCACATCACCGATGCTGGTCACTGCCCTCGAAGTCGACGTGGTCTCCGATGGACAGGCTTCCATTTTCGCGACTGAGGTGATTGGCAGGACAAACTCCACGCCTAGTCTCTCCGTCGAAGACGAGTTCTTGCTGCAACAAGTTGCCTTTCTCGAGCTGCCGTTATCGGCCATCCTAGAATGCTGCGAACAAGTCCATGTTCTTGGTCCTAGTTCTTGTGGAAGGTGTTATTTTTGTAGATTCAGTGAGAATCATTGTCGACTAGGTGGAGGTCTGGGGGCGAACATCCAGCGTCGCCGTTTGCGTGTACGCTAATACGGCAGGCGAAAGTAGAGGTGGCAACACGCGAATTCATCGGAGCTCATGAAACAACTCTCTCTCTCCCTCTCTCAATGAGTGCGTGTGCGCGTGTGTGTACGCCCAAGTGCGTGCGTGTCTTCTTTTAACAGAGGAGTGTAGGACAGACAGGCGTGTCTGTTATTGGTGTGTTCGCCTCACAATGACGATAAACTCCCCCTCCAACTACCACGACCCCATTGAACCCCTGGCCTTTGCATTACTGCGTGTCGTGGCCAATCAAATTTAAAATGACCTTGTAAAAAGTGGCTCAAGAATGGCGGGGAGGGGGCGGGAGGGGAAGCCAAAGTGCATCACCTTAGGCTACTTCACGAGACTCTACCAAGTCCCCTGATTTATTACCATCTGACTGGCTTTTTATTTCGTTTGCAATAAAGCCCCATTTAAAATCCTGAATTGATCTTTTGTTCAATTAGCTATCCCATATTTCGACCAATAGCGCATCTTCTTCCTCCTGGCTATTACATAATTCCGTCTAGCCAATCGTAATTGATGCTCTTGTCACCAAAGTCGAACCAATTGAGACTCCAGGCAATCATTATCATCATTAATAGTGGTAGAATGTTTGCCAGTAAGGGAGTTTGCAAACTACGTAAACCCGAGGCCAGACTTATATAAAGCCAAATATAACATTGCTCCCCAGGAATGCTTTAGTAATCTTCTTCTGAACGACTACAAAATCAATGAAATTACAGACAACAAACGTCCTGATCGATCGTTTGGTCCTTTGTTTCTGCTGAATTATCACACGCAGGTTGGGAAAAATTTTGGCATTTACTATAGCAGACGGTCCAATAAGCCACCTCTAATGAAAAATCGATCTAAAATTGGACGGTAGCTTCGTGCTTGAGGTGAATTCTCTCAAGCACAGAACGGTCAAACTAAGTGTATTTCTTTCAAGTCACCAGGAGTCTAATTTTCGATCTACTCATTGATTCTAACTCACTTTATACAATTTTCAGTTGCTGTGGGAGTGTGTGTGAGTTTAAATTACTGCCACACACTGGCACACAGGAAACAATCAGATCTTACTGTCAAGTAAATGCTTGTGTTGAGTCCGTTTGGTGAGATGAGGTCATAACGAAGTAAAGGTGATCCTCAACTCTTCAAGTGTTCCGCCAATGCAACCGATGGTCACCATTGGTTACAGCCACTTAACGACACCGCCGACGCCGCTGTTTCAGGCACACTCGACTGACAAAGGAAGTGGTGTCCGCGGAAGTGACCTTGTTGATCTGACTGGTCGGCGAGATTACACATCGCAAAACATATCAGCTACGGGGGTAATTAATTAGAGTGCTTTCCACCCAAGTGAATGCGCATGTTTGCTCGAACCTCCACAAGTAAACAACAAGTTGGAAGTCAAATTTGTGTCGCTTCCCGGTAATTACCCGATTTTATCTATTAGCCAAAGTCACGTGATGTGCATAGATATGTAATTAATGTTTAACTTCTCGCAAGTAAATACGTTCACGAGGTAGAGGCTTGTGATTAAACTCAGAGCCCACGTTGCGCTAAACAAACGAGTTATTTTTTTTAAAAAAGAGGCGATTTACCTGTACGGCAATCGTTCAAGTTGAGGTAGTTGCAGCAACTTCGGTTTGGATTCAAAACGTTGAATTCGTAGACATGAGGTCGAATGTTGTCATGAGGCAACAGTATGACTTACCCGCTTCCTTGGCCAGCGAATGACTTTTTTGACTAGATTCTACGCTCAGTCTGTTTAACTATCAGCTGTAGTGTTCCACAGTTATCGTCGTACCAGTTTCCAGGAGTTCGTAATAAAGTACACCCAAGGGAGAACCACCTTCAAGTGGATGTCTTGTTTCGTCGTCTATGTACTGGGTTGCCTCGGATCTACCCACGACACCTTTTAAGTTTGAGGTTCTTGTAAAAATGAACTCTCATCACCCGTCACAACTTTCCGCAGCACGTGAGTAGCTTTTGTTCATGTCTTGACCTGAGTTATGTTTGGTCAACACATGTGCGGGGACCCAACATACAAGTTTTTTTTATACAAATGCTAAGAAATGGGTGTTTGGGTGAGCTGCAAGCTCTTGCTGTGTTTGCGTTGAGTCCCCATCCAGTAGAGCTTGCAATTGCTCATCTTCAAACCTTCGACGCTGCCATTCGAAGCGAGGCTGCTCACAAAGATCACCATCACCACTTCTAGAACGTTTTGCCTATAATTACACTTTTCATAGAACACGACGATGGTCCCAAGAACACAGTAAATTAATTCCCGTGCTACGGAAGCCTTATTGTCTTTGACGGAATTCGTCGAAAATGCAATGCCACCGAATGTGCTGTTTATCTGTTGCCATCGTAAACTCGGCTATTCAGAGAACTTATGCAACTCACGTTGACTCGTCGTCCAGTGTTCTGAAACCTTATGTCCGATCCTTCCAAATCACAAAAGACTACAAGTATATGTGTTTTCAATATAATTTTATGCTCGAAGAACAAATATGTACAAATTAAGTCATCAACGGGCCAATCTAAACGGAGTTCGTCCAATTTTCCGTGGATTTTGGATTACACTTGGACAACTTAATGAGCATCATATCACTTTACCTCTGTCATCTCTGATTCAGAGTCACTTGATTGGTGCATCGTGACAGATCGTGAACAATGTCATCTTATATAATGTATGGGTGCATTCGATTGGTGGATTTGAGCTAATGTGTTCGGGTGCAAGTGAAGTTTGTTGTGTGGTCATCAATTTGAGGTATCACTTTAATCTACGAGAAATCGAGTGATAGACGAGACAGTCTGAGTCAATTTGGCGTCGACGCATGTCTAGACGACCTGACAAACCCCTTGTGTCCGATGACTTGCGTGTCTGTCTGAGTGGGCACTTCTGTGACTTACAAGTACACACACGGAAACAACAACACGACTGATTTGATGTCTTGGTTCGAGACCCGTTCAGGGTCTGTGGAATTCGTCGGCAGAGGGATCGGGAATGTGGATGCTTTCGATGCCAAGTCCAATTGATGAGAGATTGAAAGGGGATTCTGTCGACCAGTAGACCGTGGAGGAGTTTACATCCTCCGTCGGAGAGATTGTCTCCCAGGACAACGGTGGATCCAGCTTCACCATTGGTGTTGGTTGAGACTACAAATTGTGCAACGGATTGTGTGAAACCAATTGAACTGGAACACACGTTCAGCTTAGTTGAACTTCGATAACTAAACATCTACGCTAGAACTGGCCCTCCACTGGGAAATATAATTTAATGACCTCTATATTTTTCGATAATCTTACGTAACCAACAGAGAAATATAGAAAACACATTTATCATTTATCATCATTTACTATCAAATATGCGAAAATATTTCGTCGACAAAATTGGCGGCTAAAACAAGAGCCATCCACCAAACACCAGGTAGGAATGCTGACTTCAATGAAGACATACATTAGAAACAGAAGCCATCAGCTTAGTGAGTTGAGGAATGCGGTCTTTGAAGTATAGAATGTCATTATTTGCCGTGACATAGAGGTCTACATCGATTCCATGAGGGTTCACCTGGATTCTGACGCTAGAGGGGGAGAGAAGGCGAAAGAACCAAGAGCAACCAAGCGAGTTGACTGTTGATTGGTTGAGAATTAATCTAAGCAAGTTTGTTGTGTGGTCATCAATTTGAGGTATCACGTTACTCTACGAGGAGTCGAGTGATAAACGACGCATGTCCAGACGACCTGACCAATCACTTCTGTCTGATGATTTGCGTGTCTGTTTGAGCGGACACGTCTGTGACTTACAAGAACACACACGGACACAACGACGCAACTGATTTGCTGGCTTGGTTCGTGGCCACCTTGCGGTAACCACCTTGCTCAGTCCCCAACCACAACGCATCGGCATTAATGAGTTTATTCACAAGGAAACGCAGAAACTCAAGTTGATGTTGTTCACTAGTTTATAAGGCAAACGCCCTAATCTTCACGTTCGTTCCCCTGACTAGTTTCAGAAGACATTCTGGAATGTTTCAATGAAGCCTTTTTATCGCTTGTGCAAAACCTGATACCCCTGAGACATTATTCGAGCACGCGGCAACATTTCGTACCGATTAAAACAAAACGCGCAGGTATAAGGACTCCAATTGGATCAGTAATCAGTAATCAAAGCTCCGGTCGTCCGTAAGAGCCAGAATGTGGTGGGGGGGGGGTCCAATCATGGATAATTCTGAGAACACTTCAGGGCTCTTCTTCACGTCAAAGTAGTGTTTTTCTTAAAGTGACGATGAACTTTCTTTCAGTGGCTCTCCAAGTGCATGGAAGAATTTAAAATCAAGTGTGCTACTTGTCGTATTAAAGGCAGGACTAATCATCGGGGTAGCGTTACATAATTACTAAGCGATGATTGGTTGCGTGTTATCGATTATATTCTCTGAGTTTTCCTTACCTAAGTAATCTATCAATATGCGAGAGACATCTTGCAAAAGCAAGTATTGTGTCGAATCGAAAAAATGGGTGGCTAGAATGCCTAATACTAACTCCCTTTTCTCCAGTTTCTTTAAGCAATCTACAACTCATGTTTAAATAAATGTTAAACATGAATGATAAATGGAGATCCTGAGAGTGCTTCACTGCATCTCACACACGAGGATGCACACGCAGAATCATGCAGAGCAAGTTATTTAGATCCACAGGATTGGCTGGCTTCTGCGGTGCGTCGTGGTTACCTTGACAACCAGTGTGCCTGTAGAGAATGCTGCATATTTTCCCAACATTTCGAAGTTATTCCCAGATAATAACGATGATGACGTCAATGCTGGTTAGCTGCTCATGGCGGGATCGAACTACTCCTCAATTGATAGTTGATTAAAATTATACTCAAAGTTAAACAAAGGGCGTCATCATTGAAAGCCAGAAAAAAGAGAAATTTCGTGACCATGTGACATCAATCGGGTTTGAACGACAGTGTAACCAGGTAACGCTGGCAATGATTGTGCGAACAAGTTTATCACGTGTTGCAGTTGGCCAAAAGCTTCTGCTGTCTTAATAGATGCGTTTACTAAAATATGCACGCCTTAGACGACCTTGGAAGTTGCTTGAATATTGATTGGACCAATGAGAGGAGTGCGCGGGTAGTTTAAATTGGGGTGCTCAACAGTTCTAACATTTACAACAAGTATGAGTTATAAATACTAGGCTGGGTTTAAATGGCTCCCTGCATTCGTGAAAATTTAAAAGGACGCGAGGATATTCATGCTTAGACGCGTTCATGGCTCATTGATTTTCCATCATGTGTGCTCCACACGGAAAGGGTAGGGTTTGTAGACATGCTGGAGGAGGTGAGACAGGGAGGGATGGATGAAAAGAAGGTTGTAGATCTCGGGGGATCGGATCTTAAAGTAGCTCATTCTCCGACACAAATCCTCTTAGGTTATCGCTACGTTTAATAACAAACCCTTCTAAGTCTCGATGCCACAAGACCACACGACACAATGACCTGGTTTAGCTCTCTTTCTCTTTCATACTTTTCACGGCTTTAAATCGCCTTGTTTGGGATGTTTTGCTAGTAGTTGGTGTCAGACCACACCGCGACTAGTTTAACTGTTGCACCATATACAAAATTTAAGGTGTGTGTGTTGTAGACAGCCTTATTCGTCGAAATTCCCCCTTCTCCACCCTCCAAATGATCCAGTTAACTCCCGTTAAAGCCTGCCCTAACGCCATTCGCACTCCCTATCAGCCAGATCATGTCACATTCGAACCTCCTTTTGGCTGTGAAGATTGAGATCTGGAAATTGAACGCAAAATTCGCAACCGGGGCCGAAACTCATGCATAGGGATTAGGCTCAATATCGAAATCGGACTGGATGAGCAATTATAAAGAGGTCAAGTGAAATACCAGAGAAATTTGACCCCTGCAGACACCTGAACACAGCTGAATTTCTGGAAAATAGATTTCCCAACTCCACTGAATAGACTACCAACCATCTCTAGGGGTTACTGATCACTTTGATTACTTGCTTGGCTGGGAGATGAGTTCAACCGCCACTTTATGAAAAAAGATAAAACAATTTTCCGATGCATCAAGCAGCCTGGTTAATGCCATGTTTACGTGTACACAGCTGCGCATCTGTTTCAAGGCTTTCGGCTCTTCAACTAGTCGCATATTTAAACAAACCTCCCTGTAATTGTCAACAAACGTGTCTGTCCGGTTTTACTGCTTCACATAAATCTTTCATAATACAAAATTATTCTCAATTGAAACCAACCAATAAGAACACGGCACTTGGAAATTCGCCAGTTAGGTCCGCGAATCTACCAGTATTTACCGGGACTTTCTTGATCCGGGTACGAGTCCTGTTTAAGTGATTTTTTTCGCTGAGTGAGGCTACCTGTGTGTGATTCTACAGAGAACTATTTGCCAAATGATTGGACAAATCACGTCTAGGCAGCACATGTACACACCCATGCCTTCCTACCAATCAAATCAATACCTCAAGGTCTTCTCAGGCCATGTGCCAAAGGTCAGGTAGACTGTACAATGACACTGCCATCCGCTGAAGTTTTACTCACTTATTTTTGCTACACCTCGAAAACGTCTTCAGCAATTTCAAGCATTAAAACAAAGAAAGGTACAATAAGCCTTCATCGGTTTGTCATTAAATAATTTTAGGAAAGAATACGAATTACTTTGCAAAATAATAAGTTATCTGGAATAACCCAATGATGAGGATGATTATAACTCCGTGTGTGCATATTTACGACACCGTTGGATTTAATGGAACCAGCCGAGAATTGGACCATTGTAGAGATAAATTTGTTAGTCAGAATGCAGAAATTTCTCCCCACCCCAACCCCCGTCACTGCAATTAACTTCTCACACCCATGTAGCAGTAGAGTTAATTTACGAATTCAATGCATGCATTTACAGCCACGAGTTTTTTTTTCCAATGCGGATTGGTCGGACGCTATTCGGTCGAGAGTTAGCCAAACGCGAAACCTCAAAACCCCCTCGATTCATTTTTCGGGTGCAGTTTTAACGAGGAACAGGTGTGTTTAAGGTAGAGGGAAGAAGGCATTGACAGTTAATGCCCACGCCAGAGCCGAGCTTAAGTTTGCGAATGAGTTGTTTTATGCTATGTCTTATCGATCGATCATGGCCACGTCAAGCGCTTCTCTGATTGGCTGGTAGGAAAGTTTAGCAGCAGCGGCGGCGGCTGCAGCGGCGATGGCTCTGGTATGCGTGCACGGCTCGAATGGCTATTTACACGAAATGCGCACGTGCTACCGCGCATTGACGTGTTGTCGTCCGGAATTGGGGCGACTTAACGACAAACACAAGCACACCCACGAACTCGCGAGGCTGTTTGAAGCTGTGCTAGGTTTGTTGGTGTGTGTAGTTGTTTTCGAAATTGAGGACATTTCAATCACTCGACGTTGATTTCGACTCCTCTCCACTGGTACAGCCAATTCGAGCCGCCATCTTCTAAGCCTTGACAGCAAGTACATTCAGACGGTTCTCATCTAAATGAATTTGTGGACGTAATATGTCACCGAGGTCGATGCTTCCGAATTTCGTGAATCAAATGTCTGACCTGTCGCGTCCATGGTTTCAGCAATCTAATCAAACACTAAAACAACTCCCAGAAACGTCAAAACACTAATCTTCTCCACGCCAGTGCAAAGAAATGTCAACGAACGAATTGCTTGACACGCGCATTTCCGGAGTTGGGAGTTCCAAGTGCACCATCACTTTGAGGCAAAACCATCGAATTTTTTTTTAAAAATGCTGTCTAAAAGCTAAGATGACTTCGGACACAACCACTAACTCTTGGCCAAGTAACACTGCCCTGGTAAACGACTAGATCCACATGCACTTCCATGGTGTCAATTGTGCATCAGCAGATACAGTTTGAAGAACTAGCGATTTTAAATGTGAGACAATGCGTGATTCACAAACTGCATGCAAATTCACCGCTCACCAAAAACAACTAGTCAAGAGAATTTGTATCCAAAATATGGACTTCTTCATGTCCCATTTTCACAGACGTCAAAAACGTGTGTGTCAGACTGTGGTAGTGCCATTTTAACAGCTCTATATTTAAATGCCAATTATCCACATCTAGTGCAACCTTGGAAAACACATTGCTTAATAAGTAGTATGTGGATTCAGGGTCGCATCTTCGTTATGCTCGCTTACATGAGGAAGAAACTATGTGTGTGTGTGTGTGTGTGTGTGTTGAGAATGTAACTGTGAATTATCAAGTGATTTATATTGATCGTGCTAACACTCTTGGATAGGTACCGGTATTTAAATCGATTATAAAATATTGATTTCATTTACTGACCTTATTCGTCAGTAAATGAGTACAGTTGGCCCATGGACTCCACTAAAGTGACGGCTGCACTTTGCTATCAAAAGCATCTTGGATTCACTTCGAAACCAGATGCAATGGTTGTACGCGTTTTGGAAGAACGAATCAGACTGAATCACGTTTCCACAGCCATGCTTTGGGTCTAATGAGGAGATTTAGGTGTAAGTCTTCCAAGATCTTCTCCCACGTGACCAACCAATCACTGCAGAGAATTACTGTGAGCAACTCACCCAATGCAATGTTGGCATCCAAGCTAAATGTGCAGATTAGCTCCATCATAATGACATTATCCTTCACCATGGGAATGCTAAATTACATGCCACTCAACAGAGAGCAAAAATGGGAGATTTCACGCGGGAAATCTGTCCTATTTCCCGGTCCTTGTCTCTTCATATTCCCATATTTTATTCGCTGCAAGAGAATGTTTGAATGGCAAAAATGAGATTCTGCAGAAGTCTAAGTCCATTTAACGAGAGTCCTTGAAAAGTAACCATAAAAAAATAATTCCATAATCTAGAGAACAGGATGAAGATGATGAAAAGTACATTATAGATCAATAGAAGTATTTTTAATGGAAACATGTTGCATTTTGTTTGGTTTCAAATTCAATATGGACATTTGCAATACCCCAATGAAATCGAGTGGAGTTGTTTAATTGAGGTTGTTAAAGAAGGTGGCCAGTTCAAAAGTTTCAAGTTTTGGATGCGTCACACATTGCCTGACCAATCATGTCACCCTCAAGTGCCGGTACGGGAGTCGCCATTTAGGATCGAGATACTCATCTATTGGCTCATTTTTGACAAAGGGCCAAACTAACCAATTACGTATTCTCTGTGATAGGGCTGCGTAATTCTACAATCCAAATAACTGCGCACCTGAGAAAAGGCAAATTATGGCATACGGTGACAATAAACTCTGCAAGGAGAGCAGCAAGTTGTAAGTTGATTACTATCATATAATGGAACTCGTCAATTTTGATTGGATGCTCTGAGTTGCTGGTGCCTCGTTATCTGTTCCCTGATTGGTAGAAAGTGTACTATCGTTTGTGCGCGTCTGATGTTCATTGGACAGATCACTGAATTTTCTAAGACCTGTACACAGCTGGGTGAGACATATTAGCATTCGTTGCGTCAGCCTCGGATTTGACCACCTTAAACAAAATATGACTTTAATCTAGTGACCAGGATTACGAAGTGGTCTTGGTGGTATTTTAAGCCGAAACATATACCCTTGGGTATCTTTAAATGAATAACTCTCAGTAACGCTAAATGTTTTTTGTCGGCCCTATAAGTTCATATTAAATGAATGTTTACCGCAGTTAAAATTTAATCTAATAAAGTGGGAGGATTTTAATGCCTGTGCCCAACACAGCCACGCCAAAATAATTCCATCTGTTGTTTAGAAATGCTCTACTTTTATTTAATCAGTAATTAGGATTATATATCATAATAAGTAATTGAATCAGATCACGATGAATAAGATTGCCGGCTAAACAGCTTGATCCGGGCTTTCAATTTCGGCTGCAAATTTGGTCTCAACAGTAGTTGGCACTCGAGCCGCATCTGGTTGAGGACCTCCACCAACGAAAGATGGCTTCGGCGTGTTCGTCTTCATGACGCTTTGACCACTGGAAATCAGCAAACACCTCAGCTTGGCTTTGCTTGCGACGTTCCCGAAGCTTTTGCAGTCCAGAGAGGTTGACGCGTTCCTCCTGGCAACCGTTTGTACCAGCTAAAACGAGTTACTTGACTTTAATACAACCTTTTGTGATGTTTTATCGTGATTTGTTATATAATCACAAGTGGAGCGCATGTTGTCACATTCGAACCAATCAATTTCTAGTTGAGCAAAACATACTGAACAGCCAATCACTACTTAGTAACCTTGTGAATGCTTATGTGATTGGTTGTCAAGAGGATATTGGTTTATGCGAAACCGCTGGCCATTTTTTGTGTGAAATTCGAGAAGGCACCATGGAAATTAGGCGTCGTTGTATTTCCGTCAGGTTGCTGTGCAACACCAGCAGCACTAAACTGGTACCACGGAAGTTGACTTAACAGAAGCTGTGACAAATCAGTGTACTGATTGGTGCGTGAAGCAGCAATTTAACATGGCTATTGCTAGTGTACTGAACACACAATGTTGGGTCGTTAACATAACATTAGCACCTTTCTTAAAAACCCAGACACTAGGTATAAAAAATGCAACCTTTCTGATCCTCTCGCAAGCTGCCACACCATCCACAGGAAAGCACATTGAAATCCTGCTTTCCACAACTTTCTCGTTTAGACGTGGTCATGTTGAAGATGCAGTGGGTTGAGAGGAGATGCGCCTGAAGACGACATTCTGCCTTGAGGTTGACCTTGCCATCGTCTTCGAAGCGCCGCCAGCACAACACGCACGTGTTCCGCCACTCCACGCCCTCGCCAACATCCATGGCGAGAATGCGGCCTTGACGAACAGCTCGAACGAACTGTTCTCTCAGAAGACCCACGTGACCGCGCTTCAGCAGATGTCGCTGTTGGGGAAACGTGAGATCTCCTTCGCCATGGCAACCCCACGAAGCATTCCTGGGCCTCGTCGAGGCCACGGCCTCTCCACAGACAGCACAGACCTGCAGCTTCCAGTCGAGAAAGCTGCCTCCAGCTGGATGGAAGCAGGCGATGTGTGCTTGAAGCGCTGCATTGCTGGACATTCCGACCTCGGGGAGAGCGAGGTCGTGGTTTTTTGGATGAACCGAGAACGGATGGAGTTGGCACAGAGGACAGGCGTAGACCCACGACGTCCGCGACTTGGTCGTCTTCGCGGCCAGATCAGTGGGGCCAGCGCGATGGTGTTTGCAATTCAACCACGCCAGGTACTCGTAGCCTTCAGTGTGCGTGTCACTGATATGCCTGTCGAGTGGATGCAGTCCCTCTCGAACAAGGATTGAATCCGTGGATCGTGTGGGGGAGGGACTTGGTCCCGCGACACCTCCACCGTCTTCGTTCACGTGTGGATACCAGAAGGCAAACTCAGGTGGCTCGTGGCGTTCGGGAGGGTCATACACAAATGTCGGACAGCCCGGGCAATGACCAGACTCGCGTGTCGGGTCGTGGACATAGCGGATGTGAATTGCCAACTCGAGTTTAGATGAAAATCTCGCCGCAGCATGACAACGCTTCAGCGGCAGCGTCTTCTTCGGGTTCCTGCGCACGATCCGCCTCGTTTTAGTCGCTTCCTCTTCGGCGCAGCAAAACAAACAGACAAACGGTAGGCCCTGACGCAGTTTCGAGGCTGGCGCAAGAATATTCTTGAAGTAGGCCGCCTTCTGAAGGAGACACGGGTGATTCATAGCACGTGTTTCATCCTTCCCAAGTTGCCAATCCACACCACAATGGCGGCAGCTCAGATTTGTGTCATAGAGCCTCAGTTTGCCCGGTAGACTTGTCGGATTTATCGAGGTGTGTCGTAGGAGCAAAAGATGTGCGTGGAGCATGTCTCCCGTCTGGCAGTTAAACCCACACAACCGACAAATATAACCCTCGGACTTTGGATCCGGACACTCTGTACCGATGCAGGCGTCTGCGCTAGTCCTGGACCTCTCACGAACCGACGACACAGTGGCATTCCGCCGTTGCGTCTTTTGCGTGACTCGTTTCCTCTGTACGAGAGGTTTGGCTTTCGTGCTAAGTGATCCTGGAAGCCTTGGAAGGGTGTAGTCCGACGAGATGTTGCGAAATCTTCGTGGCGGTGGTGGTGGGTAGGGAGGAAGGAGGGTGGGCGGTGGTGGCTGCAGTCGAATCACCGGCAGTGCAGCTGACTGGCTCCCGTACGACGTGTGAGGACGATGAGTTTTCGAGGGTCCCAACAAATGCCGATGTAGGGAGGCCAAGTCGCCAATGGCTAGGGTGCGCTTTTGTGCAGCCGAATTCGGCTTCTTGGCGGGCTGCGTTGACGGCGCGGCCATCTTTATGCGTGGCGCGTCCATCTTTTGAAATTAGACGGATTATCGATCGGCAATTGCATATCTGCGTACGGAATACCGCACTTACTTAGCTAGAGAGATTGGCAAAATTGTCTAGTAGTTAATATTCATGGGTGCAGTGATATTACTGATCTGGTCTACGCCACTACGTGACCGTGTATTTTAGTGTCGGGCTCATTTTCTTGGTAGTAATCAATAAACGTGTAAGCACGTGCGAACCTCATGAGAGACTACAAATAACACAGGGACCTGTCCTGGCGTCCAATAAGAAATTAGTCAGGTAACGGTGCATCTCATTCAGTGCCTTTTTGAAAATAAAACCGGTGGGACGCCCAACTATTGATAGCGAATCGAATTTTCGCACACCAAGTAACCAAATCACGTTAGTTGCAATCGTCGAAGTGCACCATGAGTTCGAATCGCAAGTCCCCTATCTAGTGGTGGTGTCCAATTAGAGAAGACAAGCCCAATCGTGGTAAACCCGCATCAAAAATGATGGGCCAGCTTCCGTCCAGCCAGGGTTGAAGAATTTAGTAACCGCTCAAGTGTAACGCGAGCTGCTGTTCCCCGCCAAAACTTCCCGAAAGCAGCTTCTGCCAGAACTAAAAAACCGCCATGACAATCAATTGTCACAAGAGCACAATAAAGCCCCCGGGAGACAAAACTGAGCCAGTCTTACAGTGACATTACATTGACGAAGTTTACTCGATAAAAGGGAACTGTACATGCCTTAAAATAATTAACACTCAGAGAGGGATTTAACGGTCCTCCATGTAGCTGGCAACCTCCATAACATCAGGCAATTCGCTGATGTTTACTTCGAATCGGTTTTGCACATCGTTCAGAATGTTGGCGTCCTGTTCATCAGAAATGAAGGTGATGGCTAAGCCCTTTGTTCCGAAACGACCGGCTCGTGCAACCTAAATTTGCAAAACCATAATCTTTTTTCAAGTATAGCAAACCCTGTGGAGGTAGGTGTCCGAGTCTTCAGGCATATCATAATTGAAGACGATATTGACGCGTTCAATATCCATCCCGCGGCCGAAGAGATTGGTTGCCACCAGAAGACGCTTGTGGAAATTCTTGAAGGCTTGGTAACGCTTGAGACGCTCCTCCTGAGACACTGCACGGTGCATTGCGATTGCGGGGAAGTTCTGATCGACAAGGAGCTGGGCCAAAGCGATGCAGCGCTGGACTGATTTCACAAAAATGATGACCTAGAAAAAGCATAGAAAGAGTTGTGAAGTCAGAAATTGAGTTGAACTCAGACGTGCGCGAATGAACGCCACGTCAGTATTAGCATAGCAAACATCATGTCTTACCTGATTGAATTGAAGTTCGTCCAACAATTCAAACAGCTTGCGATTCTTCTCGTTTTCCTTCACTTTAACATAGTGCTGGCGGAGTCCATGAAGAGTCAATTTCGAGTCATTGTCGATGAAGACCTCCAGAGGCTACAATGGAAAGAGAATTAGGCGTTACCCCTAAAGCAGACCACTCCTCGTAGCCGACCACCCGTCCTCTAGGTTCCGTGTTAGGTTAACTACTGCCGCTGCTTGAGAAATTCCATCGTGCCGTGGGATACGATGGCTGCATACCATCCTCGTTCAGTCCACAGTCGGAGCCACCATTACGGTCCCCGAAACAGTAGGCGAAGAACGACTGGACGGCATTGCGGAAAGTCGAGGAGCTCAGCCTCCAGCACCGAGTGAAACTCCCGATCCGCTAGTGTCTACATACAGACTCGCAACTTTCTAGCATGTTGTCATGGACAGCTGCCGATTGGTTGGGATTAGTGTTTGTGGTGGTCGCTGTAAATTCTTTAATACAGCTTTCTGCCTCTGCTGTTTTCAACGTACGTCTTGCATGAAGTTTCGACAAACTGGGCGGATTTCTTTGCTCATTGTGGCGCTAAACATCATAACTTGTTTGGAGCGCGGTGTCATGCGAAAGATGTCTTGGACGTCACGTCGCATATCTACAGAAGGAAACGTTACAAGTTTACCACAAACAAACCTAGCGTGTCAAGCATTTTATCGCACTCGTCGATGATGAAGTGCTTTATGTTGTCCAAATTAAGTGCCTTGTTGCGGATTAGGTCGAGAATGCGCCCAGGGGTGCCGACCACAATATGCGGAGAGCACTTAGCCAGAGACTCGATGTCCTTACGGAGAGGCATTCCACCAAAGAAAACCCCAACCTAGCAAATGGATCATTAATAAAAAAGGGCGGGCGTACCTTTATCTTTGGCATGTACTTGGAGAAACGCTCGTACTCCTTGCTAATCTGGAACGCCAATTCACGTGTATGACAAAGCACAATCACTCTAGTCACGCCCTCCTCCTCGGGATCCAACTGCTGCAGTGTCGCAATGACAAAGACAGCCGTTTTCCCCATGCCAGACTTTGCCTGACACAGGACATCCATTGATAGAATGGCCTGGGGAATGCACTCATGCTGAACCTCAGATGGGTGCTCGAATCCACAATCAACAATTGCCCTTAAAACCTCCGGCTTCAGGATGAAATCACGGAACCCGGAGCTATGAACGGTGACGTAGTCACCTTTCACAGTTTTCTTGGCTTGAAGTTCGCCGTTAGGCTTCGCTTCTTGTACTGCTTCCTGATCCTCCTCTTCATAATCCAAAAGTTCATTTTCGTCAGTCATCGTTGCACCCTAATCTAAGCGAAACACAATTAGCGCAAAAGCAACATACCAAAAACCGAAAACGCCCTCAAGTAATGGCTTACGAAACAAAACACAGTCAGTTAAAACAATTTTGTGAAGAGAAAGCAAAAGTATAAAAAATGTGAGATCTTGCTTAATCAAAAAGAAAATATGCTAAATGTATACGTTTAAATAATAAGTTTATCAAATTTGCAATTTTTTTGACAGCATCACTACATAAAACCAAAAAAATTTTCGAGGAAGTTTAAGTATGTCTTTGAAAACTTCCTTTGATGATGCCAACAAATGTGTTTTAAGTCATTTAGATCTAATATCTTTTGTAGTATGCATGTTTGCCTCATTTGGAAAAAAGATTTTCCTGATATTACAGGAGCGCTATTTAATATTTCTGTCTTTTCATTATGAAGTAAAAATTCAAATATTTGAACTAAATCTTGGCATTTAGATGCTAACATGGCATTATTATGACTTTATTATTCTAAACTAATTAAATTTATCGCTGCAGTTTTGTTTTAGAATGTTGTAATAGTGTCTGCATTAGCGCAAGTATAACCACCCACATGGCATGTTCTTTTTAGACTTCACTAACTTAGCACCAACTAATTTAAATTTAGGCAACCAAAAATTAAGAGTATAGCAATATTTTGAAATTTGATACTGACGATTGCTTGTCGATGCTATTAAGCGTTTTATCATTTGATTTTAAGTCAAAATTTACTACAAAACTTATGATAATATACCTGCTATACGATTTCTCCCACGTTCTCTTAAAAATGCATGTTATGTTTGCTTATTTAATTAAAAGCAAAAAAAACTTGTCGTGAAGGTCTATTCAAATTCCGAAATTTTGTGATAATTTGCTCTTTTATTGACGAGATACCTAAATGGGCATAGGATATTTCTACTTCATAACCTGCATGTATAACTCGCATGACTGCAATTAATTTTGCTATTTAGTTTGCCTGTACTATTTTTCTACAGAAGACAAACTTCATTGGAATTTGACATCGTTTTTCTTGTCTTGTGTTACAATCATTTGACTTTGTTTTCATGGCACTCTCCAGGGACGACTGATTAAGATGAAATTTCTTTTCTGATCCTCGAGAGTTAATGTCAAGAATTCTTACACTAATTAATGGCCTTAATGCCAAATAATAGTAATGCATTAGTTTGACAGTTCGCCATTTTTATATTAAGCAGAAGTAATTTGTTCTCCTTAATCTACAATTTGTCAAAAACATTTATATGCATTGGAAGTTTCAATTAATACTTTTCCCCGAGCTTGCTCACAATATGGCTTTTGTATAAGGTAAGGTATTAAGGTCTTTCAAAGGATGGTGCTTCGTGGACAATGTTATAAACTGCAGAGGTGTTTTACTTTATAGACTCAAGAATTGTTTCTCGTGAAATCTATTCTTTTGTGTCTCCAAAGAACAGGAATAACAAACAAGAAAAAAAGAATAAGATGTGGCTATGCATAAACGCTAAATTTTACTCCTGCTCAGATGGATGTTTGACTGTGTGTGAGGGTAGATATTTATTTAAGGGAATGATATCGGAAAAAAATGAGTCCCGAAAAACAGGAAATAAATCAGAGTGCGCAAATGCACACGCGTTCTCGCGTATAACAAAAACACAATAACAAAATCTTCAATGATAATAAAAGGGAGAAAAAATATTGGTGTAGAATATGGCGCAAACGTAAGGCGCCGAAATATCGTGTTTGGAAAAACGATAGCACTTCAAATGAATTATTGACCTCAAACGTCAAATTCGGTGAGCCGAGCACACATGTTAAAAGTTTTGTCAAATTCTACTTAGTGAATATGGACTAGCACTTTATAAGGATTTTTAAATTTCGGAATAATTACTGTCATATCTGGCTCATAGACACACATGCGCCAGAGCGCGTTTCCTGAATTCAAAAAAAATAGATATTTCCTAGACGACGATTTCTAAATTAATAACTTATGTGTATTTATTCAGTTAAGAAAACAAATGCCAAAGTAAAGTTGCGCTAAACAAAAAAATAGAGAGAGCAGCACAAAAAGTTAGTCTTGCTTTCATATGCTCAGCAGAAAAGCAAATGTGTAAACGGCATCCATGTCGGTATCTGATATATTTCAGATGAAGTTGCCTAGCACATGCCAGAGATAATAGACTTTTTCGACACGTGCACTACCTATAAGATACAAAAAACAGTAAATAGTGGGCGACAAAGATCGATTTCACTAAGATTTATTAATAAATTTCGGTTGTGTGAGATTGAGGAGTCAAACAAATATTAAACAGCTAAAAAAAGAAAATATGCTTTTTTTTTTAATTTTGTTAACAATATATAACGACAACAAAATAAAGATAACTGCAGTATTTAGATAATGCAAGATGTTGCTTACATGACAACAATTGTATGTTTTACTGTGTCATTTAAATGGGCCACTTCAAAATAAACTGTTGTCACCTATTTAAATCTTGGAATTGGATTGCGCGTACTTGTCAATTTACGTAGCACGTTAAGGTATGTTTTGGCATAATATAACCGTATAAATGTAAAATAAGTTTTTTTAGTCTGTAGTTATAACTAGAGAAGTATAAAAGCACTAAAATAAAATCTCCATAAAATGCATTTTGTGCTAATTTACTTCTGATTTCCCCCAATGCTTTGAAGCATTGAAGAAATAATGCCTATCTTTGTGGGCACATTTTTTTTAAATTTTTAGAGAGCAGGTTTTATACTGTGTGCCACTCCAAACAGATTCCTTCTCAAATGCGTGCTCTAATTAGGCATTTTTCCGGGGTTCACTTTTGATCACGTTTCCATTTTTAGGCGCACTATATCCTTCCAATGTTAAATGCACTGCGGTTTCATAGTTAAACGTGTAAACCTTTGTCGTTGGCTTACAAAATCATTTTTACAGGTGGTTTTGCAATTTTTTGTTGAATTTAGACCTATTTTAATGAGTGACTGGCATTGAACAGTTTTTTTATATTTTAATCCTCTAATGAATATTTATAGATAATGGCTTCAAATTTTTTATTTTTAACTAACGCCTTCAAATAATCTTTTTTTACAATCTTTCTAGTCTAATAGACCACATTGGGCCAAGGTCCATACTTAGGCTATTTTTGTTTTCGCCTTTTATCAGACTGATTTTGATGCTCGTCTTTCGATAAACAAATTATAATAACCATTTTTTTCTGTTTATTACATTGCCTTTTAAAGTTTCATGGTAGTATATATGTAAATATTGCCTGACTTTTTCCGCACTACAAGAATGCTCGATGTCTGATTTGTAGCTACATTCGATATATCTTTTTGGTCCCCCTTGCAGATTTTTCGCACTTTTACTTACGAGTTCTTTTCTATTACTCGGTCTATAAGGTAACTTGGGTTCCGTCGTTCAAGTAGACAAAATGGAATTCTAAGTTTTTCTTGACATGTACAGGAAACACATAGTACAATTAACCATTACAAGCAAAATTTAGGCAATTTTAAGCACAACTGTTGTTCGATTTTTTCTTTAGTTATAAGTTACGCATTTAAATATTGTAAATTTTGGATGCGCAAAATCGATGCTACATCAAACACCTTTTATGAGGAAACAATTTGTCGTCTTTACCACGCAGGCACCAAAGTCTCTGTTGGCACGTTTATAGCCAGTATCGCCGTTCGGGACCTATTAAAACAGACTACAGCCTGAATATTTTGTGTTAATATATCAAATGCTATCTATTGCACTCAGGTTGAGATACATTGCACAATCACTGCTCATTTCTGCAGAACGTTTTTGGTATTTTTCAAGCAGCCCTGAAAACATGGCGTTTCCCACTTCTATTTTACTGCCCACAATTCCTTGGAAGAAGTTAAATTGGCCCTGAGTTTAAAGCACGTTAATTTTAAATGCGATCCAGCAGCAGTTCTTGTATTTATTGCCGGTTTATCCCTCTAACACTAAAAGCATTTTTGATAGCTGTCTTTATAGACGATGAACTAATAGTCATCAGTAATGGCTCTTTTCGTGGCATTAAGTATTTATTAGACTTTGTTCATTCAATGCGTGACTCAAACACCCAGATTTCTAACGATTCTTTGACATCCTTAATGTGTGTGATAGATGCACGTGCACGCATCTGACCACATTCAGACTCAATAATGGCTTAGATATGGTCATCATGAAGTTCTGCAAGTCGACCCACATCACCCCTGACCACCTAGCCGTGAAAACGGGAGTTCTAAGCCAACTCTGACACGTGAACTGTGTTAAAAAAGTCATTGTCACAGGTCAATTTGCGTCACTCAGGTGCCTTTTCGTTTGCATGAAAATAAAAATTGAACACAAAATAATCCAAGGAAGAAATTCCTGGCGTTGGCAGAGGTTTCTCAATTGGCTGTCCATTCTCACCACCATGTTATATAAGTAATCACGACTTAGCATTTTCGAAATTGAAGGTTCAAAGTAGGGCTGTAGAGAAAATGCTATTGCTTTTCCCTATTTAAAAGCAATAAGGTAAAAACGCTTTTTACAAATGCAGCGTTTGCTTTCTGAATACCCATCACAAGTGCAGTCAGGCTTTCACCAGAGGTGGACCATCGTGTCGAAATTCACTCAACACATGAATGGGAATTAAGCTTCTCAGGTTTCAACCCATCAATCCATCTCTGCAAGGATTTAGGGACATCCCCTTATTGCTCCATGTCAAAATGCTTCGTTTTCCTGGAATCACATCCCTATGCACACACACACGCACATACGGGTGCTCAAATTTCACTCCCCACAACTATTAGTGTGGCAAATCCTGTGCTGGAGGACATGCCGACAGTTGGTGCAGAGTGACTTCCCAACGCACCTCGCGTATGGAAACACGAGTGACTCGTGTTTGCGTTCAGAGAATTCGTGCAGACTACGCCATAGTTTTGCGTGATTAATTGCTACCCCGCTTCTAGTAGGTCAGCATACACGAATCTCCTTAATCCATATCCCTGTAGTCAAACAGCTTCTCTCACTTTGGTCAGTTTCTCTAAAGCGGTAAATTTCCCTAGCTCACATCGAGTGTGTTCTTTTAAACTATTCCTATGACAACTCTGGCCACGAAACTGTGTTTTGGCCTAAACTCCCAGCTACATGGAAGTGTGTTTTCACGTAATCCCTTGGGCCCCGCCTCCTCCCCCTTGGTGTAGTCACGTGTACGTTTGGATGCATCTAAGGTGTAATTCCTTGTGTGTGCCGCGACACTTAGAGAGGACAGTGCATTTGCACATTAATGCGTGCTGGTTGGCCCGAAATTAACCTTTCCATAAAAAAACGTAGCATAACAGCGCCCTACGAGGTGGTCGAGTGTGCCTCCAGCGCCCTGCGTAAACACGCGCGTCAGTCCGGGGGGTGAGATTGTGTCATGTCGACTTCCAGGGTTAACGCTCGATTCACTTCCTTCGGAACCCAATTGAGGGATTTTGATTGGCAGCTGAGGACGGTGGGCTGAAGCAATCCTACTTCAGGCAGAAGCGCTTCCTCTCCTGTCGACCTAGTCAACAGCTCTACTGTTTTCTCGCATTTTAAAACTGATTTTCAATCCAACAAGAGACGAGTTTTGAAAGGGGTATTTTCCCAACCTATCAGCTCTTTCTTTTTGCAGACGGAAATAAGTGAGCAGTGTTTTTGACTTCGTTAATTCGATTAGCAAGGACTACCTCGACAAGGTTAATTTACACGTATATTAATAATATTAATTTGGCTAAAACGCCCCCCACTGTCTCGGGATTGGCTGGAATCAGGACAAATTTGTCGTTAGGAGGAGTTTCGTAAACAGATAAATTCTGAGACATTCGTAAATTTAAAAAAGTAATAAATTAACGGTTCACCTTGTTTGAATTGTGGAATAAGGAAGAAAACTGGTAGCCTCGTTGAGATTAGCCTTGCGGATTGCAAAATCTCATGGGTACGCACTGGAGTCGTGGATTTCAGGCACGTGTGCACCAAAAATGCCAGTTAAGACTAGAAGTTGCAGAATGGTGTGGACCTACTGCATGTGTGTGTGAGCGCTGGAGTGTAAAAATGCCTAGGATTTCCCAGTTCCCTTTGCTTTAACCAACGATTCGAACGAATCGGAGTTAAACCAAGGCAATAACATACATTAGGTCCTGAAGTGGGATGGGATTTTGCAGTCTTTTCCCTCGCTAAAATCTAATTTTAACTTGGTGTTAGTGCACTGCGCCTATGCGCAATTTATGATGCGGCTAAATCGTGTTCGCCGGGCCACGCAAAACCACAGCAGTGTCGGCCTGAATTCTTGTGGTAATATTGCTGCTACCGCTTCTCTTTATTGCTCCTAATCGTTCTCCTTTGTTTGTTCTGTCGAAACTCCCCTCTGATTTCCTTTCTTACTTCCACCCACTTTCGACTTCATCCATATCAGGCCTGTCAGTAACGGGGTAACCTGCATTGATCTTTAATTTTATCAAACCAGTCCAACTACAGGCCAAACATGCAAGCATTTGCTTCAAAATGACACACGATAACTCATAAACCAATAGGAAGTATCTGGAAGATAAACGTGGTGGCAGGACTTAGGTGTCATCGAAAATGTGTAAACAGTGAATCGTGCTAACTCAACTAGGTTAATTCTAATTGGTTGATTGCGTGATTGGTGGTTTCCTGCAATTGGCCTAGGGTATAAGCGAACCTGTCTTTCAGTAAATAACATTAAAGACATTCCAATAACCTGCATATTCGCAGCTATTGGTTGCAATTTATTCTTAACGATCAACAAAGTTATTGACCGCCGAGAATGAAGTCTCCACATCGTCTTATGGGGATAAACATCCCACGTGACTCTGGTGTAGTCTAGTCATCTTCCCTACCCATCTACTCATTCCATCTTTCAAAATTTGCTGAAAAACACAAATTCGCGTAGACAGTGAAAGTGGGATCCAGGAATTCAGATTTGTGTTCAGGAGTGTCACTGTGTCACGCAAAGATATCGGCCATGTTTGTGAAATACCGAAGCGCTTGCTACTGCGTAAACTCCAGCTTTCATCTTTCAAACCTCGCCAATTTACGCCTTGCTACTTGGCTTCCGTTGGCTTTTAGCCGTGCTCATCGAATTGAGTCGACGAGATACTTCTGTGCTGTCTTCTCTAACGGAGCGTCTCCTCCGCAGGTGTTGTTAATAGCATAGACTGTAATTAGCTCAGCATTTCATGACTGTGGCCAAACATAATAGGAAATGGATCTTTAGGGAAGGCTGACGTCGATTTTCCTGAAGAATCTGTTCCTTGAATACGCAGAGGCAAATGAACAAAAAGTTCGGTTTTACCTCAGCAAAATTCCACAAATTATTACTCACATGCACCTTAGTAGGAATATCTCTCCAGAATCTGGAGGTAGTTTGAAGTAGTAGTTTTAGTTTTTCATAACAACAAGTCGGACAGTTAGGTTAGTTGTGCCAACGAAAAAAATCATATTTTATGACAAATTGGTACTTAGTTTAGTTCTACAAGACCTACAACTTGTTCTGACACTTATTATGATAATGGATTTCCTTTAGGCCCCCTGAAGCAATCCGTTAACCCACTTCTGATGGAGGATTCAACCGATAGAGATACGAACGAGTCGAATCGTCCACACAGACACTCTCTCCAAAAAGCGGGGGTTTCAAATCCGTTTCGAAAAAAGCTCAGCGTTGAATTGCCAGCTCTGCCAGAGGGTCGTCTGTTCGAACCCGAGCCGAGTCAAAGCGAAGATGTAGGGAACGAGAACTCCAATGCCGTGACACGACGTTTTGCGCGATTCAAGAGGCTCTCTTCACCTTGGTGGCTCCGAAAGGGAGCAGGTTGGATCTACCGAAAGATCGGAGTCGTCGCCACGTACAGCGTCTTCTTCCTCCTCATCTACACGCTCTTGTGGATCCTAACGGGTAACAATGCGCTACCATCAAGATGCTATGCGTACACCCGCGTGCCCAACGCCAATCTCACGGCCACGTCAACAGAGAGGGCTGCTGTGTGCTACGGAGGCTCGACGCTCGCCGTTGTTGTATACTACGCAATCGCTTTTGCTTGTGGACAGCTAGTGGAACTCATTCGAATACCGGGCCTTCTTGGTAAGTTTACTCTGTAGCCTTATCTAGCGTCGTGGAATATGTTTGCCTCTTAACTACATTCACACAACTAACTTAACTACTGGTCGCAACCATGCGGTACTTAAACAAGTTTTCTGGAGATGCCAGTTCGATAGCTATGAAGACATCATCTTGTGACATGAGTCACTTGGAACCACGAATGTAGTTCTTTATGAAGGCCATCACCTGCTTTGAGTCGTAGGGTTTACATGTGTATTCGGCCTTCAAATTTCACTCGCAAGACGTGAGCCGTGTTAAAGATCTACAAGATAGCGCGTTGAAATCTACAGATCACCGTCCAGTCCAAAATTTCGCGGGCGTGTTTGTGTGAGCGCGCACACAGGTGTAAAATTCGGGGAGTGTTAAGATGTGGTGGAACAACTGTCGTCGGTGTTCACCAGACTAAAGGGTTTGGTGTGTTATTGCCTCACCTTCAAACTACTTTCGGTACCGCGGTTAAGCAGCTGCGAAGGCATATTAAGTGTGTTAGCGTTGGACTTGAACCACCCATAGTCGGATAATTTAATGTGTGCTAATGCCTCTGTAGGCCTTTAAGTGTCCCCAACAGCGCTACTGGTCAAGGATGCCTTTGGCATAGATCAGCCAATGCAAGATTTATGCTTCGGTTAATCGGATTGTCCTATGTTGAAGCCTTTTCTTAGTGGAAACACCTTTGTTGGTAGTTCTGCTATAGCTGGGCTACATTTTCAAAAAAATCAATATGACCTAAGTTTCACCTCAGCCATGACGATCCCTTCACAAAAGTCAAAATTTGTGAAATTTCACCGTGATTTTTGTAAAAAGACCAGGAAAGTCTTCCTTGCCTAATCACACATTTTGCGCAAATAGAAAAACCTTTTGCTGTCGACCCCATTCCCTGGACAGCTGTCTCCTCCCTCAATTAAATAAATGATCGCGCTCAAAAGGCGATCCAATGAGGCCTCGTGAGCGCGCACGCACGCACTCACGCACACGCAACAGACCAATCGAATAGTCGGCGATTATATCCACAAAAGTGGCGCATTTTCACACAAAATCTTGATTAGAACCTCATAGGAGCAGTCACATCTTGAAAGACAATTAGATGATGGGACCTGCTTCGAGTCAAAGACGATTTTCACCAGGACTATTAATATTTTCAGGTAGTAGTATGTTTTAATTTCTGTCAAAATTGGCCAAATTTAGAACACTGCTACCTCTAACTTGTTAGTTGGTCGTAGTGCGTGTGTGTGTGGCCATCACAGCCTTAAATCGTGATCCAGGAACACAGATTTGTGTCAATGCGTGTACCCGTGCCACTCAAGTGAATCGATCATGTTTATGGAGTGCCAGGGTTTGGTTCTGTGTCAACGCATGCGTAGCCACAGGCTTCAATCTTCCGAACTCTGTCCATCATCTTCGGTTAACGAAGAGTGGTATTTTTCTGGCAATAAAAGACCAGCTTAAACCCGGTCATTCAGGTGGATCTCTGAAAACTTAGAGTTGAAGCGGTGTTCTAATGGCACATTTGCACAAACAAACGAAAGTCGCAAGTGTTACTCCTGTCTTTTTAAATCGCCCCACTACGAGAATCTAGTAATTGCGAACTCTATAACTTTGCGCCGCGAAGATAATGCTCGATATCTCAAGATCTTTTTCCTGTGGTATTGGGAAAACAGAGTTTTAGGTGATGAAAGAGCATAATTTGGCTATGACTGGGTCTTTAACAGCATGCAGATTGTTCCGTCTTGTGTAGAAGTCCAGCTGTCATTCGAGTCTACCAAAATTACTGCACCTGAAAACATTGAAGCTGGTTCTTCTACCCTGGACCCATTTTCACGCACACACCGTGTCCAAACACCCTCCCCTAAGCCTATCACAATTTTCTGTTTTTGCAGTTCAGTTCAGTGACACTGTTTGTCCCTTATGGTCCTACGCAGACCTGTTGAATACTGCGTTTTCAGAAGTGGTGAAAGCATACGCTGGTGCCGATGTCTAGAAAATGCCGGCTGGGTTTCATACCAAAGCATACTCGAATTAGTTCTTTTTGCAACCGCGGTGATTTGGTCAACGTCACCAAGCAGGGGCTCAAGAATCATAGGAAAAGTCGGTATTTCTTGACTCAGAAGGTTTTCTAAAACCTAGCTGGCATTTGCGTGACAAGGATTGGAGGGCAATGTGTTGGCATCATCAATTCGCGTTCGCTTGAAACACGTTCCACCAATTCATCTCATCAAAACTTATTAGAATGAAATGGGTACGATCCTACGCAGATACATGGGAAGGGTAAGAAAACAGTCTGACTCATTGGTGTTTGTTGTGTTTCCCTGCTTACGAGGTGGTCCAGTCGAATGAGTCGCAGACACACGCAGGACGGAAGTGATTGGTTAATATTTCCGGCCAATAGGGTTCAAGTACACTGGTAGACGTTCAAGTAAGTGAACGGTTGAGAGTATGGAAGGGGTGGTGCCTGTTCAAACCTGTTTGCATGAGCAATGAGGTCGCTGCGGCGCATAGGGCGGACAGCTAAGATGTCTAAACTGGGAAGGACATGGCCGTCCAATCATTGTTGGCTTAAATTACACACTCAGCAATAAAACAAGCATTGTGAATGCCGCGTGACGGGCCTACGTTAAGGAAATATCCGGATTTTCGCAAAAATACAGATGCTACATTGGTTTCAAATTAAACAAAATACGTTTTTTTTATTCCGGTTAAAGATGAGTGCACCAAAAAGGATTTGTTGTTTGCAAGACATGATGGAATGCACGGTAGACACGCTTGCGTGTTATGCTCTTAAATGCGATTACTGACCACTAGCTCTCCTTGCAGCTTTCTAATTGGTGTTAAGTCTAGTGTCTTTCCAAGAGATGCATTTTGTGACGAAAATGCACCGTTTGTTCTCTAATTTTATGCTGGTAACGGTCGTCACGCTGCATGTACACCAAACTCAGTTCCTTTGCCAACTCTAACTGGTCTCCAGACGACTTCGTGCTGTCCTAAAACGGGTAACGCGCCCAAAAATGAGTGCCTTGGGCTACCTTGACTGCAATCCAATCGATTAGCACATCGAAGAGGAATGAGCCAATAGGAGGTCGTAATAAATTAGTTTTTTGTGGAAAATCGAACAATCGAAAAAAGGTGCAAACTTACAACATAGCACTCATAAATGTTGTTTGTTTCAAGTGAAAATAGTCTCAAGAACATCTTTTAGTGAATGTTTGCCTGTTTGACTCGTGGCTCTGACAGTCCGAATTTGGAATTCCCTCCTTCCAGATTTTTTTACTAGCGAATTTGATTGACATTTGGTGGTGTTCAGGCGTGGAATGTATGAACACACACGCACGCATGTCACGCGATTGCTGGTGCATATTTGCTTTAAGTCACCGAGTTCTGACATTTAGACAAAATGCCAAGGCCCCATTTTGCGGTGTGCTTGGCACTTCCGAGCGAATGCTACACTGTACTCCACCAGCAAGGTCAAAATCATCTGTATTTCTTGGTCGCAATCTGCATTTTCTTGTGGTCAAATGATGTATTTCTTCTAAGTAACTGAAAGGTCAACTTGACTGACAATTTGGAAGCGTGTCCCCTCTCGTTTAGCAACAGATGTTTGCTCAAAATGGGGTATTATCTAATTCTGCGTATGAAGTCATCATTTGAAGTTGGGCCCAAAAGGTGTACCTTGAGAAAACCTTTGGCTGACTGCCTATCGATCGATGACTCAAGTGTCACTACTTACAAAAAAGCGCCAACATTGTTCGGTGTCTCCTTCTGGAAGAACAGGTAGGGCTAGAGGGGATCAAGAGAGGTTTTCGGAGTTAGCTGCCGCTAGTAAAGTGCGAATACGAAGGCGCTGAGCCGCAAATTAAAAATGGGACTTAGTGCGCAGAAATTAAACAGAATTAACCGCTTTTTGATCTAATAGCACGCCGAGCCAGGCACATGCCCAGCTCGGTCGATACATCTCGCATTTACCACGCATTTAGCACCTAGTTTGTTGCTACGTCCAAAATAAACCGTTGGCATTTGAATTAATCTAGGTTTGAGGTTTTAGATTAATTCAGGCAATCACACTAGGAACACCAAAAGTACGCGGAACTAAATTAAACAAACGAATTAATGAATTACCATGGCGTCTTGATAGAGAAGTGAATTAACCCATTTCACAACAGTTCGAAAAGTGAGAGCGACGATACTTACTAATTAGGATCTCTGTCATACTGATGAATGGCATAATTTTGGAATCAGGCCACTGACAAGGTGCCGCGCAACACTGGAGCCTTCACTGGAGGATGTTTCTGAAACCCCTCTAGAAACGAACTAGCTTCGTTGCCCCAATAAGTCCAATAGCACTCTCGGTTTCGCCAAATAGCTCCTTGTTTACTAAAGACATGTACAGTCCTACTGCGATCAATTTAATCGATGCGACCGCATTAAAGCACCACGTCCACCCACCCAAAGTGGTAATACCTATGTGGGAATTTCATTGATGTAATTACCGAACCCAAGTACATAAGCTGTCGCATCCTCAAACAGCTTCCTTCGTAAACAAAGGTAATTTAAGTAGCTTTAGTTGCGCAAGGGAAAAGGACATTCGGATGCAGTTGTCAAGTTGCCATGTTTATGTAGTAATGTGCCTCTAGACATGTCCGCATTCCTGTCTGTTACTTGGAGCGGTCTTTTGGGAATGGGGAAATGAGCGTTTTTTGCTGAAAAGCACTGTATGCCGTCCTTTAAAGACGACCAATGAGAAATGTGCTTGAAATTGCCTCCAGATGTTGGCACTATGTCAATTGTCTGAGCAAAGTAAAAAGTTCCTCACTGTCTAGTCATCTCGACTTATTAATTGGTAGTGCTCTCTTGAAGTTTCCACGCCAACAGACGACAGGTTAAATTACTTCTCATTTCACTCATTCGCCTTCCGTCTATTTGCATCAACCAGTAATTGCTGACTAAATTTGGCCCTCCGCAGATAACCAATCATAGAAGAGATTAGCTCCTTTAGATACTAATTTGCTTTTGTAATCCTTAACCCCTTCAACTCCCTTGACAACTTGTTTGAACCTTCCTCGTTTTCCAGATTTATTGTCGCGAAGCAATTTCCTCGAAAGTGAACGAAAAGATTTATACACCAAATCGGCCTGTTTGCTGGTCAAAGCCTGCTTGGGGTTCTGTTGAGTGCACTAGAGTAAATCTTTTCTTGTAATCCCTTTCAAGCATAAATTTGTCAAATTAATTAAAAGTGCTTGGCTCGTTCGTTTGCAAGTTCCAAATCACACAACGAAGACTACTTTGTATTCACGAAGTAACATTCCTTTCCTGCCAAAATCGATTGAATACAGAAGTGGATACAAGTGTTGTGAACGTGATTAAATAGCACTTGGCAAATGACGCCTGTGATTTTGCTACTTTTAAATACTTTTGGGTCATTCTAGAACAGGGCTACGTGAGTTCCTAAAAAGTGGCATTTTCCGGGAAGTCAAGCTTGCTGTGATAACAAATCAAACTCTTTGGCAGTTACAAGGGCACAGTCCTGCCTTACGTCCTCCTTTTGTCAACCAGTAAATGAGATAATCTGGACACACATGCGCACAGATACTCTGTTTTCCATGCCTCATTATAGCTCAGCTGAATCCCACTTGGTTATCACCTTCAACAAGCCGTGTCGTTTACTCGCTTTGCTCATTTGGAGTTAAAAACAATTGTTCTGCAACAGCATGTCCCCCAGCAGCGCGTGTCCAATTCAACTGGTAACCGGCATTCTGAGACCTCTGTTTACTTCCATCCACGATGGAGGCATTCATGCCAATCTCCCTTACACCCCATAATCGCGAGTTTCATCTTAGAAACCCGAATTCTGGTTTTTGTGGAGGTCAATTTAAAAAGCGATTTGCACAAATTTCTGGGATGACTTGAGGTGAAATGATTTGGCTTAAAGGTAATTTGGATTGATTTGAACCTCCGTACAGTCTAACCCCCTTTTTGATGGCATAGCAAATTTAGTTTTTTTAAAAACTTACGTGATTTAAACTGAGTAATATCTGTCGAAATCAAAGTGTGAGCACGACTTGTAGGCTGAAATTTGGACAACGTGCAGAGCATTTGGTGTATTTAACTAGTTTTACCTAATGGAACCAGTAAGTTGCAAGAGCCTAGTCATTTTTGAAACCGGTGTTACGCCTTGAGCCACGGGCCCTGTGTGCATTAGAATGGAAGTGTTTCTAACGAACAGGCTTCCACGAAGTTCCTTGCGGTCCACTTCAACTTTCATGGCTTGGTTTTTGTTCGTCGTGGAGGTGGCACTGTTGTCAGTCGCTCGGTTTCGTTCGACCGTTAGTAATAGATAATGGCTCCAAAAATTGACCCTTTAAGATGTGCTCATTCTTTGTCTAGAGATCTAACACAAACGCGAAATGCCTTAAAATACTTCCTGAGCCACGTGTTGGTGAACTCACGGAATGTAGTCAGTCGTTGTGAATAACAAAACACTGGCCAATTAGAAACCGAAATAAAAAACAATCCACGTTGACTTTGCTGCCTTGACTTGAGGCAAACAACAATTATACATGGTATTTATTAAAGGTGTACAAACACGCCAGTTGGCAAATTTCCCCTGAATTTATTAGTCTAGCTCGAAGCAGTCATAATTTGGCACAACCAGCCAAAACCCATTGTTTTCTCTGGCCTGCCTTGAGCATCATCGTGTCAGCTTTGTTACTTAGTGTGAATGAACAATGAGTTTACACGAGGTTCTCTTATTAAGGCTAGCATAAAAGAGACTGCTTTGTTGGTATTTGGGATGCAGTCGTATGCGCACGATTAATTTATCTTTTGTGAACGTACAAAAGGTCGCCCAAAACCCACCAAATTGGCCGCTGTCAGTCTCTTAGACTCTCACACGATTTGCTGGGAAAATGGGTCGTCGCAGTGACCACGTCGCTTGCACCGCCTCGAATTTACCAATTTAAAACTGTAAGCGACAAAAAAGTAGGATGCTTCAACACTTAACTCCCGACTTAAGACGCGTTGAAGTGCCTTGGTGTCGTTGACCCATCCACTTGAAGGCTAGAGTGCGATCCAAGGTTGCTGTGTACTTTAACTCTATAAAATGCATTCATAGTAGACCTAGGTAATTACTGGCTTTGTTTTCTCGAAAAAAATATCCCAATTGCAATCCGTCTTTCGCCAGAGGTAAGCCACCATTTCGAAATTCACTCAACGCATGGATGGGAAATACGTTTCTCAAGTTTCAACCCTTCAATCCATCTCTGCAAGGATTTAGGGACATCTCCCTATTGCTCCATGACAAAATGTTTCGTTTTCCTGGAATCAAATCCCTCTGCACACACACACGCACATACGGGTGCTCAAATTTCACTCCCCACAACTATTAGTGTGGCAAATCCTGTGCTGGAGGACATGCCGACAGTTGGTGCAGAGTGACTTCCCAACGCACCTCGCGTATGGAAACACGAGTGACTCGTGTTTGCGTTCAGAGAATTCGTGCAGACTACGCCATAGTTTTGCGTGATTAATTGCTACCCCGCTTCTAGTAGGTCAGCATACACGAATCTCCTAAATCCATATCCGTGTTGTCGAACAGCGTCCATCAATTTGGTCAGTTTCTCTAAAGCGGTTGTTTGGATTTGATGGGTGGCGTGTTGACGAGATGTTTGCGGCTCGTGTAGCCACCGATTGATAATAAATAAATAATACTTGTTTATTTTAAAACTGTTTAGTACAATTACGAGATACAATCAGAGTGCAGCGGCATTGAATTGCCAGATTCCACAATTCCTCATCATGGGCAGATTCGAATATTTGGATGTACGGGAGGAAGCACAAGTGGCCTGTTGTGTATGTGGAAGGCTAGCAGGACGTTTCTTTGCATCTCGAAAACAAACTTTTTTCCTATTGACTCATGCCGTTTTGACATTCCACACAAAAAAAACCTGTTCAACGTGGCCGTTTAGCTTGTCGTGCGAAAATTCGTTTATTGTTTTCGCCGATTCTTTAAATTAATTGTGAACACTGCAATATTTATGGCATAAATGAGGTCTTGGTAATAAAACGGCCCCATTTTCAGTGATCACAGCTTCCTTGTGATAGGCAAGATCTTGGTAAAAGAATTCAGGACGTCGAGCTAATTTCTTACCGAAGACAGATTGTTAGGTTGTTGTAGAGAGGTTAACTATTGTCATTTTCTAGTTTACAATCTAATTTCATCATACAGTCATTGTGATTATCTAAAACGTCCCATTGCTTTGCGGTATAGGCATGCTACTGAGTGGCCTGATGCTGCGTTGTTTGAGCGTCTTCACGACGAGCTACACGATTTTCATGGATGTCCCTCCACCAGACGACCAGTACCTACCCAAAGTAGACACTTACCTCAACGGCACCACCTCCAGTGTCGTCGTTGAAGACGTAGCAGTCATCTTTGCAGCCACCTTGCGTGTGAACAAAGAGCTCTCGGCCACACTGCGACAGGTTGCTCTGGCGACGATCCTCACTCGAGCCGGTCTCGGCTTGGAGCCGGCTGTGTTGCGGCGGATATGGTCTAGCATGATTCGTCTGACCTGCCTGCCCTGTCTCACCGAGGCCCTGGCAGGAACTGTAGTCGCCAAGTTCCTCATGAACTGGCCTTGGCCGTGGGCAGCAATGATGGGGTAAGTCCATTGAGGGGCTCGAACTCATGTCCTTGGGGGTTGGTTTGACACGAAGCGATGAAGTATCATCACGTGTCTCCATGGCAATTGGTTCTCGCAGCTCGTAGGAACAGCATGTGTGCGTTTTTTTTCAAAAAATCTCAAAAATTTTGGATGGTTTTCAATTGATTTCATTGTGTATCATCCAGTTTTTATTGTCACAGATGGCTCGTCTCAAACGAGGAACAGTTTTAGTGCATCGCTGACGACGAATGGTAGCATTAAGTGAATCCCTAGCTTCCTGGCGATTCCTTGACATTTTCATTGTGCGTGGTAGGTGCCACTGCCTGTTTTTATGATGACCATCAGGTACTGTGATGGCTTTGATTTAGTCATCTTGAACTCCCATTGGTATCCTAGAAAAACGATGGTCAATTGTGGACAACAAACCAAAACAACGGGGTTTCTAAATTAATTATGACAGGTGCGCGGTGTTAAGCATTGAAGCTTCACTCTAATCTGGGTAATTGAGTCCAACGCTTCAAACATGAAGACTTGAAATTACTTTCCTGTCAGTTCGATGCACGCACTGTTTTAGGAATGCTGTTATAAGGTCGTACAAAACGTTTTTGCGGTCCCGGATAACTGTCAAGGGGAGGTAATTATTTCTGTCAGGCATGAATGCAATATCCGTGTAGATATTTATCTAACAGAAGCTTTTTGCGGTAGGAATGACTCGCATTGATAGCGGGCTACAACGCGTTGGTGTTCAATGTTCAATATCCCCTCTGGTAGCTCCCAAAATGGCCTGCAAGAAGCAGAAATCATCAAGTCTTAACATAGTGGAATGAGTGCTGAAAATAGGAACTTGGAGAGGTGACCCCCTTCACTCTAATCTCATAACTTTGTTCCAGGTTCATATTGGCAGCCGTCTCGCCAGCCGTCGTGGTGCCAAACATGCTGCGTCTGGAGATTGCAGGTTGGGGCGTCGCCCAGGGCATCCCCACCCTCGTGATGGCGGCCTCCAGTCTGGACGATGTGCTGGCAATCACTGGTTTTGGAATCGCCCAGGCAATCGCCTTTGCCAAGGGCGACATCGCCATGGTGGCGGTCTCTGGCCCACTTGAAGTTCTTGCCGGCGCTCTCCTGGGCGTCTGTCTGGCGCTAATCCTGTGGGTTCTTCCACCTCCGGCCATGGTAAGTCGTCTGACTTCGCCTTCTCCACCCCCCCTATCGACACATTTTAAATTGATCAAGTCTATTCCAAATCACTTATTGCTCTTCTGAATACCGTTTTGGCTTGCGTAAAGGCCCTATTCAAAGGTGCAACCATGTACAGAATCTTTTCGATGAAACTGGTCAAATTTCTAGTAATTTCGCCCAAAGGTAGTACATTACGCACCTTGCACCTCTATTCCGTCTTCAGATTGCCAGATTTATTCTAAGTATTCTCCTAACTGAGTTGGTGAGAGACTTTGCATCTACGATTAGTGCTTATTCCATTCTTTCTCTAGAAATGATGCTAAGAATTAGAGCTGTCAAACGGTAAAATCAAACAATTCACCAGATGGATGCGTTAGATTCGATTGGTCCTTTTTTTTCAATATTTGATTGGGCACTTAGACGAAAGAAATGTCACTGAAAATGCTACCGATTGGCCCTCAACTATATACCAGGATAATTGTCTAAAGCATTAAAAAATTCGCTTAGGGAGGCTATTAGCAGGACGGAATTTAACAGATGGGCTGATTTAAACTAACAAACCCTAGACGTTCAAGAACTTCCTCTATCAAACAAAGAACTCGCTTGAGTTACTGTAACCACTTTTGAGTCATGACATCTGGTACAAGTTTAAGAATGATTTGCAGAGTTGTGTTTAGACGAAAAAAAACTAAGAATTCTTCCCTAGTTTTGAAAAAAAAATATTTGACGTAAATTCGTTTCATTGGATCTAAGAAATGAATTTCCTGTTTGGCAGGAGGCCTAATTATGGCTGACCTCACTAGCTGAAGGCAACTCAGTGTAGTTAAACCAAAGTTCAAGGTCATTTAGTCTTATCCCCCCACAGGAGCACAGCAGCACGGTTCGTGGAATGCTGCTCTACGCGATCTCCATCTCCGCGATCACTGGAACCATTAAGATGGGCCTACCGGGTGCTGGAGCCCTCTGTTGCCTCATCTGCAGTCTGATGTGTTCTGTGGGCTGGCGCAACGGCATGCCGTGGCGATTCAAGCACACCAGCCAACCCCTAGACGAGGTGGACACGAACAAGAGCAACGCTCTTGCCACTGATGGCCCACAGTTGCCCACAGACGCGATTGCCCCCACTGCTGCCACAGAACACCACGAGTACTACCACCAGCACCTGCGTTCACTCCGACGGCGACTCAATAAGTCCGGCGGGGTTACAAAGAAGAACGCCCTGGCGGCTGTCTCTCGTAGTCGACGCTTCTCCTTGCCCGAGCCAAAGCCCCTGTACGAGGAGAATGATTTCAACACGATTATAAGTGGTAAGTGCACTCCCTTGGGGGCAATTTTGCACCGCTCGGTGTACTTATCGCTCGTGTCCTCGCGATATGTCACGGATTTTTGGTACTGCAGTGAGTAAATAACGCGTGTGAAAGCCAAGTCGTCATTTATTAAGCAAAGTGGATCAGAGAAGTGAGAGTGCACTTACTTTAGAACCTTGCTTTAGGGTGTCGACTCAAGATCAGGTCAAATTCCCGAATTAGGGACGAAATGTAGCTAAAGAATCACATTTCCTACAATTATACCTTTACGCATCACCCATCCTGACAATAACACAGGGACGCCAGAAAATCATTTATTGAACGCCACTAAAATGCCTGTTTCGAAGCATCTCCAGACAAATTATAGCCAGATCGACAAATTTTCCAGCCAGGCAGTGTGTGCCTGTTAGGTAATATTCAAGGCAGGTCGTCAAATTATTGCCTTCTGCTTGTAGTACCCAAGTACGCGTTTTACAGAGTTTCAGAATACACAAACGTTTCGTTAAGAACTGGGTATTTTTATGAATTTCGCTACCCAAAGTTGAATCATCGACAAAGTTTGTTCACGCCTTCCATTTGCCTAGTCACGGGCTGTATGCTAATTCAGACACTTAGGTAATTTGAATGCCTGTGAAACGTTCCGTTTCATCCGATTCCTCGCTAGAGCTCATCTCCACCAACGACTTGTTCATTGGACGTGTTCTTGCAGTCTGACTAACATAGATGATGGCATGGAGGTGGTACATTCAAAGGGTTGCATGAGCAGACGGTGTAGGAAGGTCGATAGGGGTCCTGTGAAAGGGAGATCAGTGCAGCAGAAAACGCGACGACTGGGTCAGAACTGTAATTCACGTCATTTACTTTCTCTAGACTTCATGTTCCACTGTTGCAACATGATGTTTTGTTTAAGCAACCATTGACCCCGCTAGGAAGATCATGGAATAAAAATGCTGTTGTTTTGTGAATTTGACCTCACATTGGGTGGATCTCTTCAAGACGAGGACACGTGGACCAATCACGTGGTAAGAACTAGCAAAAAGATAGTGCAACTTATTTCGCCTCTCTGGTCGACCTGCTTCAAAGCACTGTTGGTTTGACGACCGGGCGAAATTGCTATTCAGTACGGGTAGCGTAACTTTTTCTCAATTTTGAAATGTTCAGTCTACATTTCATCATCCGTGATGCTCCGCTTGCTTTTAAATGAAACTCGGCCATTTTCTCCGACCTAATAAGAACCCAAATAGCGGTCATAAGCGCATTTGCAACAAACTTACGTGCACTCTAACGATGCATCTACACATGGGCGTTTCGGACGACAGCTCTTGCTACCCATGAATGAATCCGTCAAGGAAATGGACATTTCCTATCTTCGTCAGTGTGTGGGCGGTGTGCAATTTGGATTTTGTGGTTATTTTCAGTTTGGCCGGTATTCTAGCAACTCACCAATGATTCCAAAATGCTTCCGTCCAGTCAGTGCCCACCAGACATGGAGTGACAGGTTGTGCTGTTGAAAATTGTTTTGTAGGTAAATTTGAACCACTTAACTTTGTTCAAGAACGCAAGTTCCATTCCCGTGTTACCGTGAGTGCTTCAACGCCTCAGAAGACATCAACTCAGCAATACCATTTAAATAGTGTCTCCTCACATTGTGTGACTCGGGAAATTCACTTAATTTCATGTTGAATTAAACCATAACAACTGCCTGGCTACCAAATTATTGATTTGGACTTTCCATGCCTTGTAGATGTTGATCAATCGAACGCCTACCTTCGACGTTCGCTCTCCGCCTTCCGACCAATAGGCGCTAAGAAAAAAGGCCTTGTGAGGTGGAACACAACCACCGAAAACACCGCCAATATCCACACATCGACAACGCCGAGCGAAGACCCAGACTCCGAGTTCCTCACGACCGACGTCAATTCTTCCGCAGCCCCACCGCTTCGAATCACGCCAGAGGCTCTGCTCGCGTTGGATAAGGCGAAGGGACAGGAGTGCCTGAAGGTGATGCGAAGCTACATGGCCACGTGCTGGTGGTTTGTTCAGCCGCTGCTATTCTGTCTCATCGGAGCTGACATTCCTGTCGAGAAACTTCGACCAGACACAATCGGTAAGCTCTTGTCGTGTCTAGACTACTGCCATCCATTGGCGCAAGTTGGAATGATGTGTATACTCTTTACAAATCCCACTAGATCGTAGAAGGGCTTGCTATAAATCCTGCGAACCGGTGTCGTGTGAGCAAGTGTGTTTTGTCAGCACTTTAAGTCCATTTCAAAGTCGTGTCCTGCCTAACTTTTATTATAAAAGCGTTATTTTGTAGGAACGTTTGAATAATAGACCACCCAGGTCACTTAAGAGTCCATTTGGTCAAAGTGCACTACTGTCGATGGACACGGCGTCGGTGAAAAACAACGCCCACTTCTATAATCGCTCGTTCTACTTCGTCACAGATTTATCATTTCAAGCAGTACGCCAGGTTGCCACCGAAAAACCCATGCGGAAAGTACCAGCTGGCCGCACATCACAGTTTGTGGACAAACGTGTCTGATTAGCAGGTGGGATGGCACGTAGATGTGATGCAATAAATATCTTCGTTTGAGGCATCGGACAAAACCAGGCGAAGAGAAAATGATCACTACAGGCTGCTGTCTCATTCAACAAAATTACGACGCCATGACGATTGGTTGGGGATTTGTAATCGTTCGCAAGAACTACCTACGAGGCATATAGTGTCCCTCAATTTAGTACTTTCCATGTTTGGTTTGACTTAACCAAAGCCACTACTTTAATGTGTGGGATAGCAGCGATACGCTAGGCTTCATAAATTTCTGCACTCGCCTGAATTATGGAATACTTGGGTGAGGGGGTGTGAGAATTGGACCGGTCTGCAGAAATCCCCCCCCACAGGTGTCCACAAAGACGTTCTGGGTGACTCGGTCAGTATTTTATTTTGCCTTTTTTTTGAAAAAAAAACATATGCCTGCTTCATTTCTCTGTTATGGAATCGCGTATTTTCAGTTAGGCTTCGCGAGTGCCCCAAGTATGTTTGAAAAATTTATTGCCGACTGATTTTATGCATCAAACAAAAACTTTTTTGTGCCTGTCGAATTAGCGTCTACAGATCCACTCGCAAAGTGCCTTTAAGTTCGTCAAAAAAGAATAAAAAATCTGGGAACAAACATCAATATCCGATTTAAACATTTTATAAACAAAACCAATCAGAAGGTGGGTGTGTACATGGATTAATTTAGCAATTCCCGTTGAATCTGATGACGCTGTGCTTGTCTAGGAGTCAGCCAAAGGTCAAGCTTTTTTGTTCACCATGCAAAACGGTAGGATTTTGCTTAGCACCGAACCACACGTTTACGGGACTATTTTACGGTGATTTGGAAAGGCAAATTCGTTGCCTATTGCCACCTTTTATGGTGTCCGTAATTTCCACGCGCTCGTTTACAACAACCAATTACTCCGAGTTGTCTTCCCTCGAACCTAGCGCCATTGGCTGGGCTTTTTTAATGACTTGAATGCCTTTCGTACTTTGTCAGAAAAACAACCTTCCACGTTGCCTAAGACTTGCCTTCAATAATTCAGAGGAGTGTAAATTCTTGTGCCTTAGCTAGAGAGTGCTGTCCAACTCAATGTCACCATCACAACGTCCCTCGCGCATTACAAGTAAGTCTTAAATTCGACCGTTTTTCTGGTGCCGGCAACAGAGTGTTCTCGCGACCCAAATTCCATCAGCAAAGGGTGTGCTTCCTCTCACGAGCACGCAAGATTTATGCGGAGTGATTGACGAGGTGCTGTCAGTTCGAGGCGTTGGATTGATGAATCTGTCAGCGTTAAAAAATACCAAATGCGCTATTTACTCGCAACGCGTGTCTCCCATTTTTTCTTTTTCTCAAGAGTAAACAAAGCAATTTAGCAGAACGCGTTTTGTCGTCTTTTGCTAAGCCCTAGATAAAGACAGCCTCAGACCAACTTCCTCGGTGTCACGTGCAAAAGGCTGCTCATGTCTGATTGGTCGGTTTTGGAAGTGGTTAATTTGACCGCGCTACTAACAGCGTGACCTTGAAGTCCATTTTGTAGTAATCTACCGAGAATGCAAGAAGCTTGCCTGTTTTCTTTAGGTCTCGGGATCGCCTCTATTCTGGTAGCTCTCACCTTCCGCATCTTCGCCTCTGTCCTTGCGGTGACCCCTTCGCCCTTGAAGTTAAAGGAGAAGATTTTCGTCTCCGTGGCGTGGATTCCGAAGGCCACAGTCCAGGCTGCGATTGGACCGTTGGCGCTAGATTCGGCCCGTGCAACTGGCGACCCTGTTTTAATTAACTGGGGTGAACAGGTGAGCACAAGCCACTCCACAAAATATTCCTTACATCTCATCATTGCATCTTTTTTCAATCTCTCCTCCCACTCCAAGTTGCCTTCTCAACAAAGGCAAGTTTTAAGGCGCATTCTTCCTCGAATCGCTTGGATTTCATTAAAATTCAATTCTTCACAGTGACAACTTCCAATGAAATTCCATTAAGCTAACAGTAATAGGGATTGTGAGATTTCGTCGTGGATTACGGTGCATGTCCAGGCTTTAGAGTTTTACATCTGCAATAGATTCATAGTGGAACCAGCTTGTCTTTCTACTGCATCTTGATCAGCTGTTTCAAACTCTTTGGTTCGGAAACATAGAAGATCCTTGTCGGATTGAAGGAATCCTTCGTCATTTATCCCTTCTGTGCTCAAACGAACCGATTTGAAACCCTTGAAAGCTGAAATGGCATTCCTTTCTAACAGCCGAAAAAGTCCCAGAGGCATTTGGCGTTGTTTTTTGAATCAAAAATTACAAATACAGGGGTCGACGGTCTACACAAATTGTCTTGATGCTGTTTAAGAACAATAGGATTCAGCAATCGCTTTTGGCCCATGAGGGTCAGTGGTGATTTCCGCGACTGCACAACGAATCGAGGGTCGGGCATGTGTGTATGATTAGATCTGTAAGATGCTCATTTAAACTAAACACAATTAATTACGAGGTGCTTATCAAAGCAACTGTCATCGCATTCTGTTGATTCTTTGTTAGAAGTGCCTTCGAAATCTAGGTCGGTGCCACGTTTGCTATAATTTTTGATCATATAAACTTCCAGGCAAATAAACAACACCCTTTAATCCACCAAGAGGTGGGTTTTAGAGATGATGGCGGTTAAAAGACGCATTTTTTGGCAATAATCTGGTGGCCGACGATCACGCTCCTGACTACGTCAGAAGGGCACGCGAGTTAGTTGGTAGAAATGACCTTCCAAGTGAACGAGCATTCACGAGGCTTCTGGGTGTTTGCATTCGTACGTCGCAAACCAGTTCACCGACGATTAATCCGTGCGAAAAATGCCAGCCGAATGCACATCACAATTCCTGGACAAGCGTGCTTAAATAGCAGGTGGGTTCGCCAGTGGACGTGATGCGATAAACATCGTCGTTTGAGGCATTGCGTGCATCAACCAGAAAGCGATCATTCCACTACTGTTGCATTACTGCAAAAGTGGGACTAAATGATTACCAGGGGATGCGCAAGCCATCGACCTAGGATTTGGACTCGTCCACAGAAACACCCCACACGGACGTTGGTGCTAATCGAATTGGCAATTTCTGTGTTCATTTTGACTGACCGCATGGGCCGATTATATGACCTTTCGGCTAATAAATTTTTGCTTTCTTCTGAAATATAGAATATTTGGTTGAATGCATGCGAAAATTGGACCAGCTTGAGGAAATCAGCTCATAAATGTCCACGAAAGCCTACAGCAGAATTTTTTAAATGTTAACGATTTATTTAATGACATTGCGTGCGAATAATTCTACATTTCTGCATCTGTTCTTTGAGTGGAGCTTTACCACGAATTTAATGAATTTAAATTAACTTGTTTGGCGAAATTTGCTGGCTCCGTTTTATTATTCCCGATAAATGTGACCAAAGCAGGACGTGTAGCAGAAATCATCCACAAGGAATGCATAAAACGCCTGGAATTTTGACACTTTTATTACGACGAGGGAAAAGGTGATTTTCACAAAGGTGACAATGTACTTTTTTACCTTCTAAATTGGTTATATTATTTTACAAACATACGTGGAAGACGTACGGTCATTTTGCTTGGCTCTTCTAGCATTTTAATAAATGATAAATGGATGTGATTGAAACTGTTCGATCTCCTAAACCTTGACACGTTTTTCAGGCTTTAAGCCTCTTGTACGTCTGAATTAAAGTCGACATTTTTGGTGGTTTTACTGGCCCCTGTGTTAATGTCTTGACAATAGCCTTGGATGGGCCGTCAGTGTGCGTTTTAATGAAGTGGGTTGATCGAAACTCCATTCACGAATGTCGGTCCGTGATGCATGGGCTTGCTTGAATTATCTGGTTTGCCTAAAGGAGAACTCACTGTACATTACGGCGAAATCAAGAGGTGCGAACTCCCAGGCAAAGAAAACTAACCAATCACCAGCGTCCTCACAAATTAGCAGGGAACTTAGGCGTTGGGTTTGCTGTTAGGTAGCAGCAAGCAGAGGCAAGCCAATCAGGTTCGCTGTGAACATGTACTCCCCTCTTCTCATTGGTCATGACAACCCAATGAAGCGATAGCTCGTGTTATGTTTTTTTTAAACCGGTCTTCTTCTTCTTCAGATTATAACTCTATCAGCACTCTCCATTCTCCTCACTGCTCCCACAGCGGCTATCCTTATTCCACTGGTAGCCCCCTGTCTCCTACAACAGGATCCCGTCTTCATTCCAGTGGCGAATTCTACCACCAACAAGAGCAACAAAAACTGTGACGTCAAGGTTGACAGTAGCGTTTCCAATAGCGACGACGACCTTGAGGCATCACAACACGTTGATTGAAGGGGGCGTTGTGAAGTGAGAGTGTCGGCCGAATTCCCTGACTATTGCTCAGTACCCCTCCTTTACCTAGTCTCTTGCTAGTGCAGACAAACCCAAACACCTACACACAGACACACCTAATCATCACATTTTTCTTGATTTTATTCTCACAAAATTTCCTAGATCAAATATTGAATGGGTTTTACCAACGCAAACTGCTCATAACACACGCGCGAAGTTTCAGTGCAGAAAATAACTTGTTAAAGCCAAATAATGACCTTTCTCTTCAAATAATTTGTCAGAATATCACTCAGTTATTTGTATTGTGTGTCTAATTCGATTTGAGGGCGTTGCTAGTGCTGCATAGCGCCTGTTTTTCCACGTTGTTTGAATACCTCAGCGTTTTCTTCGACAATGGCCATGCAGAATCGCTTTTTGCCAGGCCGGAGGCATCAGCAGATTAGAACACAATTCTGACATGCTTGGTTCATATGCTGGCTTTTGGCGATTTAAACTACCAAATCTACGCTTGGCTTTGATTGAAATCAGTTGGGAGTTTTGTAGGGATGTTCCACTACTTCTTTCAGGTAAAGTGCGTTAATTGAAGTAAATGCAAGCACAATGTCTCTCTATTACTTGCCCAACGGGAATATTAAACGGCATGAGGGGTTCCTAATGCATAGAAGATGACAATTTAAGTGATATTTGTATCAATTTTGCTTCTGCTACAAATGTTTTCGGGCGCCATATTAACTAATGCTAACGAGCACGTACTTACGTAGTAATTGATTACATTATAGCATTAAAATTCAAGGTTGAAAAGTAAAGTCATAATCTTTTGCTTGAGTCGTCTTGTTATGTTGTGCTTAAGGGGAGACATCTTGGCCGATGGACACAATTTACCACAGTAGGAGTTTTTGCAAAAATTTGATTCACACCCGTTCATTCGGTCACTCCAGCATCCGACACAGGGTCCCCCTTTTCGCAGCATGTCGCCAGCCCCGCAGATCCCCAACTCTCCCCTCATTAGTGCGAACGATTATCCTAGGTCGCAATTTTGGCGCGTCTGTGACTCACACATCTGAGGTATTTGTACACACGACACAACGCATCGACGACAAGATCAAGTCCTCTGTCTCTTTGCAGACTTCATCCTTGTTGGGTGTTTAGCGGTATATGGCTCCACGACAAATTGGCGACGTAATCGGGCCGCAGCCAACTCAGTGGACCCGGTGTGGTTCAAGGCCACATGCTGGGGTCCACATCAATTGGTCACCTCGACGTGATCGACTGCTGGGGCCCACATCACACTTACCCTGCTTACACGCAGTCTCTTATAAATAATTTTTTTTCGCCTCAACACATTTTTGCTTTTAACCTGGTTATTCATGAAATGATGTGTTGTGTGCAAATTTTGCATCAAACTATATCAAAGTGCTGAAATCCGGATAGGGAAGAAAGCAGTCTTCTAGTTATGTTGATTAATGGTAAAATTATGTAATATTTAATAACTACGAAACTATCGAAGTCTTGGTTAATGTGTAAGCCAATTTCGACATATGAGTGTCATAAACTTGTACGAGGAAAAAAAGTCATATTATGGACATTAAGTCAATAAGGTAGAAGTCGTAGATTAAGTCGTGCATCAGATTTGAAATAGGCTTTACCACGTATAAAAGCGGCATCTTCCAAGTTCCGTATTTTTAGAGCGCATTGACGCATGGTGCAATCTAAGTGCGAACAAGTATTTGATTGTAACGAATTAAATGTGTGAAATTTCGACTAGTCAGAGAAGCACTTGACACTTCCTCTCCGCAATTCTCTAAAATAATTCCTCGTGTTTTTTTTCAAAATTATTCTACCAAATAACCACTTCTAAGTCAGCCAGTGTAAGCATCATAACCCAGTTCATTCAACAGCATGAATTGGAGATAAAGGGATTATGCTACCCACGAAATTAGAATAAGCCTCAATTTTAAACAAAATTTCAAAACAAATGGGTACTTTTAAGGATTATAAGAAGTTTATGGTTTCAGTTGCCAGTTGATGAGGCAAAACACTGAATGCTTTAACAAATCAGGGCTTACCGACATCGTAAAATTCTTCGCGTGTTTGGGATTTTCTCCATATTCATAACATAATTGACTACTTCAAGGTTTAAAAAGTTTCCAGATAGAATTAGCCTTACCGGGTTCAACTCCAAGTCTCATGATACCCAAAATGGTCAACTTTAGTAACAAGTGGAAGTAGAGGGTTGTTGGTGTGCTATCGTAATATGACAGCCACAATCAAAGTTGGGTGAGGTAATAAAATTTGGAGAATTGGTACGAGTTATAAACTGCGAACGTTGGGTTGATTTGTTTTTTGATCAACTAGGCTTTTTTGGTTCGAATGAATGAGGATCCAGAATAGTGAGCAAACGATCTGATGTAAAGTTTTATAACTAGTCGACACGAAACAAATGTCACCTGGGACATGTCAGAAGTTTTCCGGAATCCACACATAGGTGTAGTGGTTTTAAACATTAAAACAGGTGGTATTTTAAAATGAACGCTTGCACAGCACTTGTTTACAACAATTGTGTCAAGGTTATCGTGAGTCAAAATCAAGAGGTCATTTTCAATATACTTTCCTCACATGTGACTGAGCGATAGTATGGAAAATCCCTGAGGGTCGGCAATAACATGGCGAGGTGTTCCTTCAGAGAACTTGCCCTCGCATTAAAGACCAAATTTTTTTTAAAAAAAATTATAAGCACGCTTGAAGAAGACATTCTCATGTGTTAAGCATTAAATTTAGGACAATTAGGCGATTAGTTTGCTTTCAGAACCCCGACACCGTCCCAAAGCACGTACACAAGTATTTGTGAAGCATATTACACCAGACTTCTGGCTACTCTGTTCACAAAAGTATGCTGCAACGAATACTAGGAAGAAAGCTCACTGTCTGTTCGAGGTAGGGAGTAGATCGGTAGATTGTAGCTTAAAAGTTGATCAAGATAAGCGTTTTTGGTTAAACGGGAAAATGCTCAATTTTACTGAATACCAGAAGTGGGAATACGCGAATGTGTCCGGTTCTTCTGAATTTGAACACACATTGAGCAGACTTTGGTGATTTTTAAAAGCAAATTAGATTAGGCACCGCATTTTTTTTCGTTGTGAACGTCTATTTATTTGTAAAATATGATAATCTCTTGTCTTAGCACTAAAATATGCCCAACTACCCGACTATTACAATATATTTTGCGTAAATGTCGTACAACAAACGCACCAAACAACCATCTTCTTTTATTGGCCCATTCCAGATAAGCTGACTTTTGACATACTGACTTCTGCGACCAGCCAGTACTGCAGAATACTAGTTAGATAGAGCCTATTTGAACCACGCTGCTAAGGAATAAGAATTTGACCAAGGTGTGCAGCATTATCCTCTGCCTGTGTTTTCCTCTTCTCCTAGACAAGGTAACAACAATGACACTAGCAACAACAATTACCTGCCCTAGATAAAATCCAGCGTTCAGCCTCTTTCAACCCCATTCTGGTGGAGATTAGGGGTGGCTATTTCCTTTGGCTTTTAAAGTGATTGACAAGAAGGGGATTTGCATAGTCTTTTGAAGTCGACAAGTGGACAAAATCGGGAAACTTCTGCCTAACCTGGTGTTTTAGCCACCTCATTTTAATGAATCTGGCCTAGGCAGCAAAAAGTAATTAAAAATGGTTAAATATAGCCCCAAGCACCTCGCTATAGTAATAAAAATCCATAAGTGCCTGACTTGTATTATTAGAACCGTTGCCACGTTAATTAGACGCTTGCTGGAACTAAAGAACAGCCGGTGACGCGAAGTATCAAACCAACACTTCTTCAGACGCGTTCATTTAAAACTTACATCGGCCATGTGGCAGTCGCTGGTGTTCCGATTCTTCCACTGTGTTACTTCAACCTCTTTAAGTAGCATGCAAATTAAGAACAAGGAAGAGATGAGCCATATCCCTGAAGGCCTGGGTTAGCTTGGACACTGAAAGTGGCGCTGACAATTCGCGTGTTTTGAATGTCAGAAATGTACAATTGCCTAATTTCCTGTCTTGGTAGAACATGTGTCAACTAGAACAATGTTCAGCTGGAATGCTAGGATCCTCATTTGGGCATTTTTTACCAAAAATTTGGCTTAATAATTCGACGGGCTCCAGTTGATGCCAAAAGACTAGTTTTGTTTAAATTTTTTAACATATTTGAATTCTGGATGTTGTCATAACTCGACTCCAGACGTCCGCTTTGTAAAGTGCATTATCAGGACCTTTCAATGCTCATAGACGTCAGGTTACATCCCAGGCCACTTTCTAAACTTGGTTTTTCAAATCACCAAATCAGGTATCGAGGCAAACTTGAACACAATCCAAAACATGTGGCTCACCATATTTAATCACCATTTAAACCACACAGCACTTACTGACTAAGATATCTTCGGTAGAAATAATCATTACTGGACAACTTCATTCCTATTATAAAGTTGGAGGTGGACGAACATGATATCGTTCCAAAATACGTCACAACAAGGTGATTTGTGACGATCTGCAAGCTCTACTGTTGAATGCCTTTATCTCACGTCGTCTTTGAATCACAAAAAAGGATATCTACTCCAGCTATTACATCATCTTTGGATCAGGGTTGTACGCTGAAAGAATCTTATTTGACAGTATGAATATGTGTCTTCTTTATCACGCTGTCAAAGATCAGAGATAGGACATTGGTCGGATTACAGTAGCTCTGGGGTTCGGTTGGGATGTTTCATGTGTGATGTCGTTTCCAACAGTCCTTAACTAACAAGAATCAGAGATAAATTTTCCAATTCAGCATCAAAACAATTATTTGTCATTGGTTTTAAAATGTGCTTTCTGTAAAGTAATTCATCATCCATGCTTTTTATGTGGATTAACTTTAACGAAATGCCAGATTATGAGTAATCAGGATCTGATTAATAAAAACCGATGGGATTCGATCATACACCCGTGTCTGAAGATCCAGCATATTAATGGGAGTGATTTATAATCATTTCATTTAAGGCGATGGATAGGCTTTGAAAGCTTGTTATGATTTAACGAATATGCGACTCCGTTTCGTGGAGCTTTATCATGCACTGAAATTTGCAAATCGAGCTTACCTAACAAAGAGATGAGAAATGGTGATAATGGCTATTAAATGGGGTTACCTCAAAACCTCTAAGCAAAGCTTAAATTTATTTTGTCTTAGAGATCATTGCGACGATTCCGATGTTTACTTAATATTGTTATATTGCGTGTGATAGCATCACAACTATCAGGTCGTCAGGTTTGCAACTGATCCAAATTGTAGAAACCCGTGAAGTCATAAACACACATGGAATTAAATCTATTCGTGTCATTTCAGTGACGTTCCTTGTACTGGCCAGAAGTTGAACATGAATAAATGACGTTCCCCGTACTGAATAGCGGTTTTACCCGGTTGTCAAATTAGCAGTGCTTTAAAGAAGGTCGATTTGGATTTGTGAAACACGTTGCACTATATTTGTGCTAGTTCTTGCCACATGATTGGTCCACGTGTCGTCTATAAGAGATATACCCAAGGTCAGGTCAAATTCACAAAACGACGATATTATTAATAAGTAAATTTAGTGACCTTCCTTGCGAGACAAGTGTTCGATTAAAAAGACATTACGTGGCAGCAGTGGCACATAAAAGATAAAGAAATGAAATAAGGTTCGTCACAGTTTTGACCAATTAATCAACTACGTGAGCTTCTACTCATTGTGTGGTAGAATGAAAAAAGGAGATTGTTTTAATAAGAATGTAAAAAAGCACTAAAGATTCAATGAGCAAGTCGGAATGTTATTTCCTGCAATTGGTCAAGATATTTTCGAGCAGATTAATAGCTCAATGTTAAACAATTGGGCTAAACTGTGGATGCGTTGGCGTTCGAAGTGTCCAGAGTATTCTTACTAGCGAACAACCAGCGATTGAACTAATAAAAAAGTAATCAAATTTAGCCAATGCCATAGGTGACTAAATTCCTAAAATTTACTGAATTTTTTCATGATAAATGTTCGCATCCTGAAACTCCAAAAAACGCCTACCTTGATACTTGAAGCAGGAGAGAATTTTCAGGTGACCAATACTGAATATTCCTTAACAGAGTCACACAACCTGTCTGGAAAGTTCTCAAATTCTAAAATGATCGATACAAGTTGCAATTTGTAAATAGAGGTGGAAGGAGAGGTGTCAACTGCAGTGTGGAGACTAGGAAATTACTGCAACCACGAAAAACTAAAAAATATTCAAAAGACCCATATAAATGCATGCACATTTAATTAGCTACAAATAGTACTAGACAGTGAAAAAAGTTTTGAATATGCGGAGTTAATAAGTACTATAATTTGGTGATGAGAGGTAGAACACAGTGGCCACCTGAAACGATAACAATTAAGAACAACTTTTTTTGCTAAACTGCTAAGAAAACTAAAGTAAAGCCATTAAATACAACTATTTAGCATTTTTAAATAATTCTGAAATTTGTTAGATGCACTTTTAATGTACGATATTCAAAACACACTTTTTAAAAACATGCGCGAGGATATAGTTAACAAGGCTAATCGTGCTTTCTTGGACCTGTTCTGGCAAATCACAGAGACAGAGATAGAAAAAAGAAATGCAGCTATTAAAAAGCTTCTAAAGTATTTGTCTGCTGACAGAAAAGTATGTGGTTTCTTGTTTTGACTGTTCAGGATAAACTAAAACTCATTTCTTATACTCTAGACCGATTAACCAAAGGCTTACGTTCGTCTGTGGCGGCGTCGAAATCTGGATTTACTTGCGCCCTGATTTCCGTTCTTGAAAATGAATCATCTATCTCTACTGACAACTTGCTAATGTTTCTCGATAAGAACGTCTTCTCTTTCAAAACCAACGATCATAAAGTACGTAGTCGCAGAAGCATTTTTCGCTTTTCCGCACTTTTTTTTATCATTTTGCGTGACTAGTTTGCTTCACGTGATTACCGACTTCTCAATGTGTCATCTGTTGTTCTCACATCTTTCTCAATTTGCATCCCGTTTTTATTCACTAAATTCTGCTGTTACCACTATGGGTGTGACCGAGCTTTTACCTACATCTCACTGTTACTTTATAGGAGCGGTTTGCTACAAATATGGCGAAGATTGATAGTCTTCTTATTCTTCAAAAGTCTGGAAGGCTACGGGACCTTGGGTTGGATCATCACAAAAAGATCGTTGCCAGCATTACCAACTTAAGCGACACCGAGTCTTGCATGATATCGATGCAGTCAGTTCTGCCACAAGTTGTGCCGTATCTGGACAAAAATACGATAGGCCTCTACGGCGACTTGATTACCAAGATTTGGTCAACTGCCTCCAAAATAGACGAACCTTCTGCTGTACAGCTTCTATTCGTGCTACGTCTTCAGAATTTCCCTCAGGTAAAGTTGCGAGATAGCTTGCTAACTCGTTAACAGGTTATGTCAATTGTGAAAAACCTACCGAAAATCCAAATTGGAGATAAATCCATAATTAAGCGTGTCGTTGGTGCGGTAAGGAGTTGCCTTCAAACGTCGGATGGACAAACTGCTGCCGAATTAGTAGGCCATTTTGGGGAGTCTCCGACTTTCAAAAGACTATGGGACAGAATATCAGGTAGGTTCTGAAATCTGCGTCGAGGTCTACTTGGCTTGCTTCTGTCAGAAATTAAAGGTTTGCATTCGTTTTAGTGCCAATAGAAAAACCAGAAATGCCCATTTCCCAACGTCTTCAGGTTCTTCGTCTGGCTCTGTCTCTTGTACCAAAGTTACAGACCGAAGCCCAAATTAAAACTGTTGTTACTCCCAACCTTCTACTCTTCCTTCGAAAGCAACTATCTAGTCAGAAACTAGCAAGTCATGAGGATATCTGTCGATGCTTGAATCGGTTACTGCAGCACTTGAAGACATCCCAACCAGATGAACTTGCACTGGTGGGAAGTAATAATGACTGTCGTTTTCCCACGCCCAGCATCGGGGCCACACAGGCTGCCCAGATATTTACAGTTGTTGCTAGTCAATTGCCTTTGTTTGACGCGGCTGTCACACCGAAGTCGCCGCAACTCGTCTCGGTAAGCTGTTTTTTAATTTTTTGAGCTCATCTGGGTAACTAAAATGGAAGGAAATTGATCCTTCATCAAATACGTAGTCAAGGTTATAGAAATGTGGTTACATGTAGCACACATCCTTTTGTTTTGATACAAAAGGGCACGAGTTTGCAAAATCGTCGTCATTTAGGGCGGCAAACAAGAAACCTATGTCACATTAATGTGAAATCTGGAGTAAAGATGTTGTGTTCAGTGTTCCGTAGCCGAATTAAGAATTCCCGACTTGTTACAGTTTGATCGTGATTAGTGCTGGCAGTAGATTTACGAACTTTGAACCTTAATGACTCGATTTTTGCTCGCATAACGCCTCTTTTGTGCAATTTCAGACCCTGCTGGAGTGTGCTTCGACGGCCTTGTCTGACGACTACCTGTACGAATGGTCGAGTCAACTGCAGAAACTCTTTCTGTCCCCGAAAGACGACTCTAGCAGCACCTCTGCCGTTGATAGAACTCGTCTGCACATCCTTGATCTCCTTCGCCAAGTCGCATTCATCTTCATCGCCCGTTCCTCTGAAGCCGTCATTGACTCCATCGAGGAAATCCTTGCTTTCCTACTTCTGGTCGCCAATAACAACGCCTTCCCTCTCGGGTCGGCAGAGCCAGCAGTGACGGCAGTGGTTGCCAGTGCTTCACTGACCCACCTTGGACGTTGTCTTGGACTTATGGTCCGGGGCGTCTCACTTCGAGCTGAAATGAAGGTAGGTGTTTCGAGATTAATTTGCTTATTGGTCATCGTTGTCCACTTGTGACCCAATGCATTCCGTTTGGGTACTGGCGAAGTTTGTTCACGGCCTGGTATTCACCAGTTGCTGTCCGTGTCAGAGTCGATATCTCGAAGCTTGGTGTTTCTTTTCAGTGTGCTCTCCTTAACGATAATTGTCATGGTTACCTGCTGTTTGCTCGTAGGAAAATATGTCGCGGGTTGGTTCGTTTCGAACGTCTTAACCACTTTCCGCTTCAGGACTCTTCACTGCGCTCAAAATCATCCAAGGAGACGCTTAGAATGCTTCTGCGTGTCATGAACCACTTGGTGGAGACAGACGAGAAAGTGTGCACCAATGATGGCGAGGATCTTCTGCAATGTCTGAAAACTGCCGGCCAGCTGTTGGCCACAGCCCTCGAATCGACTGCTAACGCCGATTCCCTCCTAAGTTGTTGGATCAGCCTTTTGCATGCCGTCACTGTGATTTACGCAGTTACGCTGCATTCCAGTAAGTGACCTCACTGACCTTGAGTAACCACCACTTTAAAGAGTCTGATATCAAAAAGTGCTGCCTGGACGTCTCGAAAGACACTCTCAAAAGGCTTCGTCGCCTCTTCAAAAAATTTTCGAGGTTTCCTAGCATTGTCAGTGTTGCTTTGAGGAATAATTCATTGCGGTTCCATCGAACTTAATGACTGCTCGAAAAACTTGATCTACTTTATTATGCATCATTTCCTTGCAACTGTCAGTGGGTATTTTCGATGCCTCTGCAATAAGGATTTTGCGGTTCTGATTCAAAAGGCTTGTCTGATGTGCTGAGCAACATCTCGCGAAACTTTGGGATAGTGATAGGGAAAGGCGGTGTGGCAGAACGCCGGGACTGGAGGTTTAGATTGGAATTTCAGTTACATTGGCAGCGCGAAAACGGGCATTATCGTACTTTAAAAGGACACTGTAACGTCTATTAAGTCGCGTTTCCCCGATTGCTTGATTAAGTCAATGCATTTTTTTAAAAATAGAGGTTTGAGTTGACTGATTCTTCATTTGCAAGAAGCTGATCATGGTTGATGCCTTTACAGTTCCACCGATTTTGAACCGTGGGGTAGAACATCTGTCATCATTAAACTCGCTTACTTGATTTTAACCTTGCACGTAGCCCAACCGTGTTCATTTTCGTACTTCCTGGGCGTAAACATGTTGGAAAAATGCGTCTTTTTTAATCTGGTAGATCCACCATCGCCTAAAGAGTCTGTTCTCCTAACCCTCATCGACGATATCTCCGAGGCTCTCAAACACCGCAACTCAGATGCCTCGGTTCCCATGGAAACCGACCTTGACGAGGCTTCAAACTACGAAGCCGCACCTGAGTGGTCCTCCGTTTTCACCGACGCGATGCTCAGCCTCTGCGTGGAGCCCTGGCGCCTTCTTCGGGAGGTAATTGCGGCGACTTTCGGGCGAATGGTCTCGCACCGCGAGCTCTTTGCTCCGCCACTCGCACCCGAGGAGGCGTTTGCCGTCGGCGGCAAACCCCACAAGCAAAAGGACGAAGGCAAAACTGTTAGCCCCCTTCAGCTGATAATCAGCATTGCCGATAATCGGTCTAACGCTGCACAAGAACGCGTTGTTTTAGCGGGTAAAGATGATGGTGATGATGATGAAGATGAGGAGGAGGATGGGAATGATGACTCGTCAGACAATGAGTCTGAGAGTGAGGGAGAGCAAGATGAAAGTGGGGACGAGGAGATGATTGGTGAGGATTTGTGTCGTTGCGTGCTCTCTAATTGACTGTATGTCCGCTTGATCTCCGTCAATTTTTTGTGCGTTGTTGATTTCTAAGTCACATATCTACTTCCGATATTACGTTTGCACAAACAAAGACTTCCAAGGCGCTCGTCTGATTGCATGGTGCTTGTGACTAACTCACGCCATCCTGAAGGAATCACTTTCTCATTTTCGTTTCTGGCGGTCTTGTAGATCTTGGAGCTGGTGAAAACGATGATGAATCTGTGGAAGATATACCAGAAGCCACTGACGCAGACGACTTTCTCACAGACGAGCAAATGGACGCTCAGGATGAGGCCTTAGCAGCCATCTTCAGGGCTACTCAGTCCTCAAAACTGGAAGCGAGATCCCGGAAGGATACGATTGCCTTGCTGAAATTAAGGTTTTTTGTCTACTCGATAGCTCTCTATTGTAATCTTCCCCGAGGCAATGATGTGTGTCTTCTTGTAGGTCATTTGACTTCCTCGAGTGCATTGTTCTCTACTCGTGCGACGCCAATCTTTTCCTGGTACGTTAACACATGCACTTTTAACCCATGCTCCGCCTTACCTTGTGTTGTTGCCTATCGACGCTCACCATAAGGCCTAAATGGTCGTCTATTTCATGAATCGCACATGCCTGTCCCTTCGCATTGCGTTGTGGCAATTACCACTATGCTCCACGTCTACTTTTGCCCCTCTCTCCTTTTTGAAGCCTTCCCTGTACACAATTCTCCAACTGGCTATTGCTTCAGCCCGACGGAACTCTAAGCACGAACCAAAAGGTAGCAGGAAGCAGTCCCCCGGGTGCGTCCAGTTGGCCCGTATCCTCGCGACGCTGAACCAGTTGCGCGCCCGCTCCTCGGCGTCCAACGACCTTCTCTACAAGTCCCTGAGTGGTTCGGACGAGTCGGTGGCTCTGTTGTCGGCCTTTCTAACGGCTGTTTTCGCGACATTTAAAAATGGTTCGTCGAGTAGTATTGCCTCTTCTCTCATTTGCGACGTCTCCCTTACCTCCATCTGTTCTGTTACCATTTCAGCTGTTCCCGATGAGGGACTCATCAAGTGCCTTCACATTGTGTGCGAATTCCTGGTAGGTGCTGTTTACTCCTGTTGTTTTCATCCAAATACGAGTTGATTTTGCCAGCCCCGATGAAATACAATGCGCTACACTTAGGACCATCCTGCGACAGTGATTAGACGATTTCAGCAATTCAGATTTTGTCTTTATATTTTCAGCAATTCAAGAAGGTTGCGTCGCCCGAAGATTCGCGCACACCCTCCAAGGTGGTTCAGTCGGTCGTGCAGGATGTCCTCACAGAGTTCTTATCGAAACCCCATCCCAGCAGAACTCACCAATCCCTGCTCAAAAGACTCCTCTCTACATCACCGGTGAGCTGTAGTTCTGTTTGAATCATCCATATTGGCTAGTTTAATGCACGCGCTTCAGTTTGACTGGTCACCTTTGTGTTCTTAAAGATGAATGGTGTGTTCCACTATCGAGCTGGGAACCCGGAAGTCTCGATGGCCGGCCAATGAAACCATTCATTGTCTGATGATAACTTGAATAGCCTCTGATTTCTAGACGAAATCGTCGTTGTGTCAGGGACACTCCGCGTGTTCTAAGGCTTGCAATCAGCTCACTAGAGGTTGGATGCGCTTTTTTAGCCAGTTCAGGCGCATTTGTACTCCCCCCTGTCTTTGCAAATCCTTTGGTTAGTTTCGAGGTTTACTTTCCCCTCGTGAATGTGTGTTTGCTCAGACAACTCCTGTGAAGTTTGTCTTGAGACCTGTTCAATTTAGATCTGAAATACATCGTTGTCTTTGGATGGGAGTCGCTATGGGGTACGGTCACACCACCCTTTAACTGCACACCGTGGGGTTAAGTGCTTTTCTCCACTCAATGTTAATTTTTTTCGTCTCTTCTAGGCGGTTGCAAAGTCTGCAGCGGGTCTCCTGGCTGAGCGGCTCGCAAAAGCAGCGACCAGCGAGTCCCCCGAGGGAATCTACTCCCAGACTGCTCTGTTGCATCTCGCCAACGCTGTTACTGTTGGTCTGGCCAAGCAGAGTGACGTCGTCCGCGAGTGGACGCTGCCCTTCGCCAAAACCCTCGTCTCGGCGTACTTCTCCGGCAAAGTCTCGGCTGGGTGGACCCAATCTAGGGTCCTCGCGTCGGCTGTCTTTTCGGCGCTTATTGGGTGTATAAAAGCCGATAAAACTGTTGTAAGTGTAGAATCCACCACTATCCTCATCAGCCCCGGGGAACATTTGGAGCCTCTTTCATCTGAACAACTTAAAACAGTCAGAGAACTCAACAAACTCGTGCATCGATAGCTTTGTCCCTTTTGCAATTTTTGGACGTGGAAGACAACCTTACAGCTTTGCCTTTTAGCTTGATGAACTGTCATCAACAGATTTGACCACCCTGTTAACACTTGAAAGAGGCACTTTGCTGAAGTCCGTCCGGCCATATCTCTCCCGAGTGACGATGCTTATCCACTCACTCCGTGGTTCATCAGGGTAAGCTTTCTACTCAACGTAAGAGGTGTTTTGAGTCTAGTTTCTCTCCTCAACAAGTGGCCCCGGTAGTTAGCAGCAACTGATTTTTTCCTGAAGTCAATAAATTTATCTCCAGGCACGTTTCGAAGGTGATTACTGAGCTGTCCGTGGTGAGGGAGCAGATGAAGCGCGAGGCAAAACAGGAGCGTCGGGCGAAAAGGCAGCAGCGGGCAGCTGCGCAGCAGCTTAAGCGAAAGGCGGCGGCTGAGGAGTCGGTGGAATCCGAGGAGACGAAGCCTCGCCCACAGGCAAAGCGCAGAAAGACAAAGTCGAAGAGGGCAGTGTGAACATCCGGCTCTTCGTCCGACAGTTTGTACATTTGTATCAAAACATGTGTGCTTGTATGCGGTCCCTTTTGATTCTCCGAGGATTGTAGAGGGGTCTGTTAGTTCACAAGAGTTTAGATTAGTACCTCGGTGTGATAACCTGGAAGGTATATAATGTCCGTCTGAAGTTCGTAATTGGATAATATCCGGAAATTCGGAAGATGAAGAGAGAGTGCACAGAAGCATAATGGGAGAGGCGTTTCTGATCAACCAAAAATAAAAAAAATCCACCAAGAGCAAAATCAAGATTATAGCTTATCGCACCAGTTAATACTGATTCTTCCCGATCTCAAAGTAAGATATGTCAGAGCTTGGTGCGTGGATTGATGTGAATGACTGCTTGATGACTTCAAAACATCAGTTGGCTTCAATGGCAGGAACTAACTTTCCAAATCTGAGAAAGTTTTCTTTCCAGCAGTGAGTATTAGCCATTAGTTATTCAGCAACGGCCCAATTTTATCAGTACTCCATGATCTACATCAAAATTGCATCAATTTTAACCATGAAATTCCGTCCCGCACTCGCACGCAAAAAGAGCCTGTCGATTCCACGTATTGAAAATCGAGGATTTTGAACATTTTTCCAGAATAACACTTGTTGTATGCAAATTGAAAACGTCTGAACGCTTCAACGAAACTCTAGACAATTCCTTCTGAAAATGAATGGGAATCAGTCTCGATCAATAAATTCCACAGTGAAGATCTAGTGCATAACATCTACTGGATCTTTATAATCTGCAGTAGTGTCTTCAGATTCCTGTAAACATATTTGCGTTTAAATTCCACATTTTAAAAATAGCATGTCATATATATTCTAAACGTCATAGTCGTTCGAAAATATGTGCCTGCACAGAGATCAGTGATTTTAGCTAACCTTTCTTTATTGAGAACAATTTAAGACGGGCTATTTGAAACCGAGTAAAATATCATCCTTGTAAATTATTTAAAAAAAACGCGTTTGCATGACCTTCCTCTAGATAATCTTTTCACAGTTTGACTTAATAATATATATTGTCAGGATCAGTAAAATCCAAGTTGTGTGACGCTGACAACGTGCTTGTAATCCACCAAAAATAGTGATTGACTTGGATAAAGATTAAAAAAAGATTTTGCCTCAGTGTAAGCTGCAAATAATCCACTAACGTGTTTTCTATCAATGTTAATTTGTGCAAAGACCAACGTAGTCTAATGCTAAATGTTCAAATCTTAAGGCATTGGTAAAATAAATATGACAACAAGTGTGCTGATATTGAGGTGATCAGTCGAGAGGAAGACGGAGACACAGGACTGCTATAATAAAATAAAAAAAACTTGTGATCCAGACAACTAATTGAGACCGTTAAACTATATCTGATAAAAGTGAATTCTGCCTTGTGCTTAAGTCGGTCAAAAGTAAATCGATTGACCGCGTCTTGAAATATTTTATAAGCAGACACAGATTAATTCATGGAGAAGTGCATTATTGCTTAGAAATTATTAGATCCCAGTGACTTCATTTGATTTAGGAATAATTAGATAATCCACATATTTCTAACCTTTAAGAATTTATGACATCCACGACCAAGTAAAAACTGTTGTACCCTTTTGAAAAGCAGCATTACTTACAAATAAGAATAAAGCTGAAGGAAACTTGCAATATTAAATTGAAGATATGGCACTTTCATCAGACTTTTTCCCAAACATAACCCAAGTAATTGAGCTCCTTCGACTGGATTTGTTGCCTAGCTCGCTATTTTAATTGGTTCCCATCCGTATTGCTGTATTAACTTTTGAGTGCACAATGATGCGCATGTTTACGAGTTTTTACCTTTTCGGTTGCCGGCGCTCTACAAATGCATGGAAACTTCTAGTTAATAATTTTTCATCAAAGGCTGCGCTTGTGGAGCCCACCGCTGCTGGCTATAGGGCTGCAATAAAGCAGGAGATTCCACTTGAGGACCTTCCGTTGCGGGTCAATTTTCGTGGGAAGCCGTATAAACCTTCAAGTCTAGAAGAGAGTATTGAGTACCTTAATAGTCCTGGTAGGCGAAACGTACCCAATTAACTTTGTTAAGAGTACCAGAAACTTTATCAAGGGAAGCCTGTTTGGTTTTACCATAGGCGCAATTATAAGGGCCACTTTCCCCCAAAATATCCGAGGAAATCGTGTACTGTGAGTTTTCGCCCCAAAATTTTTGATGTTTTTTTGACGTCGTGACAAAAAAGTCTTTTAAATTAGGTAGCGCGTAAACTCATAACGTCAAACCCCTGTCCCATCTGCCGAGATGAATACCTCGTCATTGATCACAGGGTAACGCTTAAATTATGTCAACTTTAGCTCGGATAGAATTTGGCTTTAATTAAACAGTTTCTTCACCCGCTCTCAGCTGACATCTTGGAGCCCAAGGTCACAGGTATGAATTTGTTTACTGTTCATTTTTATTTCCGATATTGATATTGTGGGTTCCTCGTGCAGCTGTCATTAAATTTGGCTAGTCGTTCATTAATTTATTCTTTTTTTTTCACTTTGTGACTGTGCCTTTGCCTGATAAAAACATGTTAAGTATGATATAATAAGGTCTTTGATTTCGTTTATGTTTTCCAAACATTGCGCAGAATCTCGCTAAATCTATTCCCTTGACAATGTTCTAATAACCGTTTCTACCTTCCGTAGTATGTAATGTAACTAGGCTAGTTCTTCCGGTTTAGGAGAAGAATGTGATCTGAAGACAAAGTTCCTGCAACTTTTCTGGTGTTCGTCGTAGTGTCTCGGGAAAACATCATGCTTTGACTTGGTATTATCAGGTGTACTCTAAAGCACATATAATATAGCTATTGCACGCAAGGAATTGGCGATTTTGAGGTAAATACACACCATGACTGTCGAAAGCTGACCTACCCAATGCGTCGAACGCTTTACAGTTTTATCACTTGGTTCACTGTGAGTTAGTTACTTTCGGTACAGACGTCGTACTCAACTCACTGCAGTTGCTTTTCATTCATCAACCATGGTAGAGGAGGCCTGAAATGCGTTCTTTGTGTAATTTTTGGCATTTCCGTTTATTTGTTGGTGTGTTCAGGTCTGTGTGCAGTCCAGCACAAGGCTCTCCTCTTGGCGATTGAGAAGGCTCGTGACCTCGGTAAGTTCCGTTTGTATGCTTCCACCTGACCTGCGATCTTTTGAACCCTCTTTGTGACTTGCGTGCTGTTGCCTTGTCTCCAGATGCCTTTCGGTCACTTAAAATCATCGATTCTTTTAAAATTGAACATGCGAATTGGGTTAGCACATAATGGGATTTCTAGTTCTCATTAGTAAGCCCTAATTGTTAGGTGGTAGGTCATTTGTCGGCGTTTGCTTGAGTGTGCAAAATCATTTGTAACGTTTCCGAATTTCGTCGTACATCATCGGCTATCCCAATAGAAGAATACCCCTCTAAATTGTTTGCCATTTGAATAAATTAAACGTGTGAAATTTGTACTATCAGCAAGTTATTAGCACATCCCACCTGCCGAGAACTCACTGAATGTTCTGACGGTTAAATTTTAGTGCCTTTTTACTCATACAAAATAAGTAACGCATGCGTGTGTGTATTTGGTTCCAGGGACAGTACAGATGCGCTTGCCATTCCGTCTATTCGACTACTCCGAGTATTATGGGGATATCCTAAGTGAGGAGGAGCTGGCAAAACTGGCCAGCCACGTTGTTGCTGGTACAGGCTCGGGCGGTCAATTAGAGCCCGTGGATAACATATACCGTGAAGCCGCCCGCTCATTGGCTACTTTACCAGCAGCGATTTCGAGCCTCCTACACCAATCAGCGCTCATTCCGCACGCCGAGGCCGTGACTGCAGAGCCGCCAAGTGCCGAAATTGAACGGCCCAAGCTACCCAACCGATACCAGATGGAGGAGGCCTACCGGAAATTGTTGCTTAAGCGAAGACGCGCCAAATCACTCATTCTTAACTGATTTGACGCACACATTACTCCGCCAATAAAATTTATTGCAAAGTTGCTCTTGTACTGGCGCGTTTCGCTGCCTGCTTGATTGACGTCACTTAGTTTGTGACTCTTGGGAACTGATATATCCGCCTAATCTGCCCTTTAAATACTTGATTGGTTGAGGCATGATGTGGAGGTCATATTTGATTGGTTGATGCATGGTGTAGAGGCCATATTTGACTGGTTGAGGCATGATGTAGAGGCTATCTGCTTGGCCACGCAATCACCTTGCTTTGCGTCGATTTCCAGGAATGTCGTTTGCGAGACGAGCGTTTCTCCAGTTCACCGAGGTGCTTCATTCGCGGCTAATTTGGTGAGGCTTACTTTGCCTAGCGTGTGCAGTTTGCACGCACAAAGAAAAACAATTGGTCGCAAATATTCTCACTGTTTCAGCACTACGCCCAATCTGCAATTCATAGCGCCACAAACTCGCGTACGCATAGTCGACAACAGCCAATTCAGTAGTATAGCGCCTGAGCAGAAGAAAATTGTGAGCAAGAAGATAGGACTGAAGCAGACTGGCCAGCAGCAGGCAGGCGTAAAAGAAGCCGAGTTGAATGATGTCAAGACCTTCCTTCAAATTGGCACGGGCACCGCTTCCAAGAGAAAGCCCATGGTGATCCGAGTGTACAATCGAAAAAATCGGGGTGTGATTGGTGAGTTGGATCCGCGTGCTGGCTGTGCTTGTGATTTTACCGAAATGACGTACAAGTAATGAATGAGGTAAGGTCCAACGCTGCCCAGTCATTTTACAGGACTATTTCAATTGGTCAAAGTTCTGCAAAGCCATTGGACCGAGAGGTGGATTGAGCACGTATTGTGGTGTAAATGCCCAATGACTGAGACAAACGGTTCATAGAGTTAGAACATGAATCTCATAAAACTCCATTTTACGAAAACCAGATCACCTGCGTGCGTGGTTGAACGCCGTTGTGATAACCCCTGCGGCGCTTAGCCGGCTGTTTCTGTTTTATTAAAGTACTTGCATGGTTTTCGTTGCATAGGCGACAAAGTCCTTCTAGCGGTAGCTGGCCAAAAGCATCGCGGTTGGATCGTCGGCTGTCGAATGCCTTCGAAAGACGGCTGGCCCCGTTTCGAGTCGAACAACGTCGTGCTGGTGGACGACGAGGGCAATCCAATGGGCACTCGAATTCTCGTCCCCATTCCTGCAAAACTCCGCTCGCTGCCTGGAGATGTAACCAAGATCTTATCCATCGCGACTGCCTTCGTGTAGATGCATTTTTTGAACCTGCAGATAGGGCCTTGTGGAATGTAGGCACAAAATGACACGTGGACATCTATTTCTACTTTTCGATGTGGGTTTTCAGGTGGTAGCCTCTGAAGCTCGCTTCGGCGGACTTCCACAGACTCACGTATCTTCAATTTTCACAAAAAAAGTTCACTTCAAGGTCACCGTTTGCGGCATCAACTTTGAGCTGAAAAGTAGCTGATGGGTTATGTGCAACAAACCAGTCAAAAATATTTGAATGCAACTAGAGTTGATCAGTGCAGTTATACCGTTATCTATTGGTAAATCACGAGGTTGGAGTAGTGAGGAAAGAGTGAGGAGTATGCGCGAAGTTGGGAGGGGGACAGAGATGACAGTCTAGTGAGATTTAAGGCAATCCCAGTAGAGCTACTACTGCGTCACGTCACACATCGCCAGATGGCATCTAGGCTCGATCAAGCTGATTGAGGTGCTTACGCAATCTGCCATTGAAGTTTTTTAAAGAAATTTTAGCTGCGATGACCTTCGAAGTTAATGGTTGTGCGCAATCTACACCGTGTGCTGAAATTGTGTGCTCATTGACGCAGAGGGTGTTGACTGAAATGTAAGAATTCGATTTTATATCACAAAAAATTAACACCACGAATTGAGCAAGTTGGAGTTTACCACGTAACACGGAACGCAAATGCAAATGGGTTGTTTGTACCAATTACAAACCGCCTGAAAGCTAATATCTGGCCTACAACCACGCCTGTCACAAGACAAATTACAGCCAATACGGATTGGATTGTACAAGAGTCAAGCGGTTGTAGTGCACAAAATTGACGTGAAGTTCGAGTCGTCGACGACTGAAGCCAAAGTTGTACAACGTCTGCAGTGGTCAATGAAGCAGTTTGTTAGATCTGAACAAGTTAGATAGTGAACGAGGGCAAAGGATTTCATGATGAGTAGGTCAAAGCAAGAAATTTAGCTCACAGGTCTCGGTATAAAATCCGCCAGTCACTGTAGCCCAAACACAGGTGGCTGTGAAGAGTCGTAAAATTACTACAAATCTGTTGCGTCACTTTTTGGCTTGTCGAAATATATGGGCTAAGTGAATTCACCAACAGTCCTCTACGCCTTGTGCTGTTCTCTTCCATTCACGCTCCTCTTCTGAGATGTGGATGGTGTCTGTATGGCCCATGTTGATTCGCACAAGCATGCCTGTGTTGTCAGCCAACGAGTTAAGTTGTATTGGCAAGTTCATCATAGAAATCGGGTTCCTGATCAATACAATGAACCAATATCAGGTTCCGTAAGTCCTGTGGCTAAATTAATCGCAATATTTTGCATTCATCGCCTTATTCTTGGTGCACTTAATGCTAGCAATGTTACTCAAGTGTCTACAAATGCCTCCATTGGGTTACAGCAGTGTTTAATTCAGCGATAAAATTTGACGCATGTTTGGAAAACCTCCCAAACATAGTGATATTGAAAAAAAATTGGACCGCTACAATATAAAATACGGAAAAAATCCGAAAATGCAGTCACTACTGATTGGCAGATCAAAAATCCGACGCTACCGTCTGCGGGCACGTTCGAAATACTTGCTCAATGCCACCATTGCGGGTCTCGTCCCGTTGTTCCTCAGTTCATATTCCCTGTGGTCATACATTGAGTTCACATGGTGCAGGTCGATGCCCAGTTTAAATGCTACCATCCCGAGATACACATCCTCCGGTGCATAATTGTACCGCGTGTATGCACTCGCGATGGCCATGTCGTCGACGATGTCGGCTCCTATGAATTGTGAAAACCCACGTGGATACTGGTACATCAAATCCCACGGAAATTCATGGTAGGATAGAAACCACTTCTTCATTGGAGATCTATACGCGAGGTCAAATTTGGCGATGAAGCCGAAAATAGACTTTCTCAATGTTTCCTTCGAAACACTGTCAAGCATCCTCGCCACCATGGTCAAATTCATGCGGTGATCGTCGTCGATAATCATGAACGTGTTACCGTGGTATTTGTTGCAGAATGCCGACAGCCATCGCAGGTTCGTGACGGTCTTCCACGTCAGGTTGTAATACGTGTCCTCGTAGTCGGCCAGCACTATGTCGCCATTTTCCTCGATTTCCATTTTAATGCGATCCATAACATAATCCTCGTAGCCTTCGAAGACCTCGAGCAGGTCACCGCTGATTCCAGGTAGGCTTATGATATTGCCATAGCGATTGAAGAATCTGCCACCGTGTTTGCGTGGCAATCCGAGACTGAAGACGACTCCTACCTTGAGCTTTGGACTGCGGGCTCTCTCGCGTTGCATGAAGGCACGAAACGCCGTTCTGGCATCCCATCCGAGAATTCCACTTTTCACCACGATGACAAGGTCGTGTTGGGTGTGGTTTGTACAGACCGTCGTGCTGGTTTGAAGAATGCGGATGGGAAAATTGTACTCAGGCATCTAGAAAAAGGAAAGTGTACATGCAGTCAAGCGCCGTTATGCGACATGTAAGTCCACTCACATCGAAGACACTATGAAGCATGATTGATTTTCTTCTCACCTTGCAGTTACCTCCATCGCGTAAACTCATGGGCCCGCACCAATACTGCATTTGATCCTGAAAATACTCTTCGACATTCAAAAATACCACCGGTGCCTTTTTTCTCATCCTACTTTCACAATTGCCACTTTTGCTGTTCCCGGTTATGCCTTTTATCAGCAATGACAGAATGCATTATGGTATCGACAAGTCATTCATTCTACATAAGTTCTCACACATCAGATCAATTATCGAACATTGTAAGTTTTGTTTTCATCATGTGAAATCATATTTCTTTTTACTCCTAGCCTTCTTTCACGTTCACCGCTTCCAGCTAAAATTCTTTCCTGTCTATACTTTAATTATGAATGATAAAATACATTCTAATAACAGTCTGACATTAATTCTATACGTAATTATCCACAGTGAATCCGCCGTGTCGTTAGCCTGAATACTAACAAGTTTGTGAATTCTTGCCGAAAATGTTTGGGGCCCGATATCATGGCTCAAGCAAGAGTGTCAGCTTACGTCAGTGACGGGAAGGCCTGCATTTACGGCCTCGACGATTTGCTTCAGTGGAACGTCTTGTGGATACGTGCGATACACCTCAGGATACTTCACCCTTTTCCACAATTTTCGAGGCAATGTTGCGAGGTCATCGAATGAAACCTGTCGATTTGTCTGTGAAAGCTGGAACAGATCGGTGAGGGGGTACGTCTTCCGTCGCCTAGTCTCCAACTCGCTCGCCTCTAGTCGAACGCAAAGCGTTATGTTGTAGCCGGACACAAAATGAATGTCGTCAAGCTTTCGGGGGGGCCATCGGCAAATTTGGTAGGTGGCCGTTTCGTGCGATTTGTCACCAAATCCAACGAGGACTTTGTTTAGTCTCCATAACTGCATAGTAAAATTAAATAGGAAAAGTCCGGCTAACAGAACGGAAATCTTGAAAGCAATGGTTATTTTCCGTCGCATCATTAATGCGCTAAGTGAATTACATCTTTAGTTAACGCTGGGATTTATTCAGGTGCTCGTCGAAGTCTATTGGCTACAGCTTTCATACGAACGTAATGAAAGAAAAATTTACGAGTGGGTGAGTGGCTCAGCTGCCGTGAATTTTGTTTCATGTGGGAAGTAATTTCATCTGCTTGTGGTGCTTACTTTAATCTACCTGCTGTAAAAAGTTTCTTTAGTTAATTGATGTCCCAAGTGGAACCATTGTGAGACGAGTTGGCAGCCGTTTTGAATGGCCTACCTTTTTTAATAGGCCACATTTACAGCATACCAAAATGGCACAGTTACTTGTAAGTTTACTTTTGACATTTCCAGGATATGTTATAAGGAACTAACTTGCTAAATTTGAGAATACAAACTTATAAGACACTGTGGTTATTAAAAAGCCCCAGTTTTGTGACAAATATTACTAAAATTTAAATACTAAGAATGCGTGTGCTTTATTTTGATAATCACCAACATGTTAGTTGCTAGTTTTTCATAGAATAAAACTAAATGCCTAACTTCTGATAAGTTGGAGTGGATTCTTCGAAACCGACACAGTCTAAACTCGAGTTGGACTGGACCTAGTCGGCTCCTTTGGTTTCGTCTTGGGAACTACTGCAGATGAATTTCTAATTGGCCGATTTTGAGGCAAGTAGACGGTCATCGGCAATTAGTGCCAGGGGATTCATGTGGGGTTTTCTCACGCCCAGCAATCGAAATAGCACCAGTAAATCCATCGACTCTTGTCATCATCCTCGATGAATTTGATTGTGGCAGTGTAGAACACTGCCACAATATAGCATTAATAACCAAGCTACTGTTTAACCAGTGAGCTGGTTGTTGCATTTGCTAAAATTTAAAAAAAGTGTGTTTTTTAGGAACGTCATTCGTTAGGACTGAACTCTTAATCGTGCGTTGAATTCCATTCTGCCAGATTGTTATGAAGACTACGTTAAACTATTTGCCTAGCATAATAAATTATTTAAAAAATGACATGAGTTCTGGTGGAATTTAGTTGGGCCTTGCGTTCTTTGAGGAGCAAGTTAAGCGATGATCACTAGCCCGACAAACGGATCAGCATGAGTGAACGGGGAGCCAGATGACTCACGCCTTCTCAAAACCCCACTGGTTTCGTTCCAATTTCAACTGCGAGAGATTGTTCTTTTCCCCATACCATACCATACACTGCATGGCATGCCTGATCAAAGGCGTGCTCAAGGCCGCTGGTTTGTAGAGCAACCACTAGCCTCTCTGAAAACGAATTTTTGTGAGAGTGAATGAAATTCAAAAGCATAACAACGATAGACGCCCACATTATGCGTGGTTTAACACTGTGACTTCTTTGGCGACGACGATTGAAAGACGGCGTGTACATCTCGTTTATGCGGTGGGGGCTGAAACTTCATTGACACTGTCACTTTCATGTTTTTGGGAAAACTCACATCGACGCATTCCCACATATTCCAACTTAAATCCTTAAGAAAACGAAAAAAATGGAGAAGAACACTAGTGGCACACTCGTGCTTTACGAGTCACGCGCAATCGATTCTCCCCTGGTACGTTGTCATGTGAAGTGTATGTGAATTCACGAACATGACAACAGTCGTCTCAAATTTCCTTCCAGCATTTACGGCTAAAACCGCCTACCAGGTAGCTGAAATACGAGTAGATAAGATTGACTTTGTCATGTCGTATGTGTGCACATTGACTGCGTCACACACGATAATGGGGACTTCCAATTGGTAACGATATTACCACCTTGGATACCAGACCTACAATCGATCTCGATGGATGCAGGCGATTGTGAAATGCAAGAAGACGTAGATTAATCCATAATTGAAAAACATCTCAACTGTGGACTCAAATGTGTTTAACACGTCAACTTCCCAACCATCAGAATCACGCTCTTCATTGAGTGGCCATTAACACTAAACATCCCCTCCTGCGTATTAGGAAGCCGTCCTGAAAGATTTATTGCATTAGCGGCACGCCTGTATCTTTGATTGGCCACATTTCACAAGCGCTCGATAACCGCGCACACACACCCACACACAGGGGTGGCCTGTACGTGAATCAACGGTCGAATCCACACTTTACGTGTCTTGTCTTGATTCTCTAGTCGAGATGGGCTGTTAACTATCGGGGCTGCAAAGTAATGCCTGCCGATCCTACATTTGGTGACGCTGATTGGGGGCGAATAAAATTCCAAATCCCAACAATGATGGAACCCCACATTCCTTGTGGTCATACAGGCTTATCTAGCTGTGCATGGCGATTCTACGTCGAAATTCTCCAATGCGAAATCACATTTCGTTAATGCGGTGAAGTCTGCACCTTCGCTGACACTACCAACTTCTTGGTGTTAGGTAATCCACATTGACGCTCCCACGTAAACCTTTAGTGGCGCACTCGCACTTTACGAGTCACGCGCCATTGATTCGCTGCTGGTCTGTAGTCATGTGCATTTTATGTGAGTTCGCGAACACGAAAACACTCAGTTAAAATTGCCCTAAAGCACGATGTTTGTTAGTTCCAATTAGAAACGGTACTTCAACGTTGGATAGTGGACCTACACCCAACGTCGATGGATGTGGACGATCGTGAAAACGGAGAAGACATTTGTGGCGAGCAGCAAGCGAGCACAGTTAGCAGTCGTGGGTGAACGCAATTAGCAAGCGTTAACGATCACGATTCAGGCAAATCTGTTTGTCAAGGACCGATGCTTAGCTAAGCCATATAAACGCACTCGTTAACCTGCACAGACACACACACCACTGCTGTATCAGTAAATAAATTGAGCTACGCGCTGCCTGCTTTTTCTCCTCTTCTTTCGGTCGGGCCGTGTAAATGTGGATTGTCAGCCCTGGTGTGGTTTACTAACCGCATTGGGGCCTGGTACACATCACTCAATCAATAACTGACAGACGTATTTTTGCCAGAGTACGTTTAACCTGATGAGTTGAATATGTCATCTTCCTAGCCGTCAGCATCACGCTCTTCACTGAGTGGTCGTTGATATTTTTGGTATTCAAGGCATTCTATTACCTCTGTCAACAAGTCGACACTCAAACAGCATCAGCAAGTGTTTACCCTGGCGACGGCTCAGTCCATGCCACTTCATGGCAGCGCCAATCAAAACAATGGCTACCACAACGGTCCCTCTATTTAATGTTAACACTGGCACTACTTATCTCCGTTCAAATCTGTGGTCTAAGGATTTGACATTTGCCTTGTTGGTTTTTCGCATGGAAATAGTGGCTGATCTGCAGACGCGAATGAGTGGAAGTTTGTCCGAACGGGTCTGAAGCAGCGTCGTTCGTATTTTGAAATGCCGCAATTTTGATTGGTCGCTGTTTAAAAACGCTGTTCTGTGGTTTTATAACAGACAGACATATTTTGCCAGTGTGCGTTTACCTCCTATGTGTTGAATATGTCAACTTCCTAGCCGTCAGCATCACACTCTTCACTGAGCGGTCATTTAAGGGCTTTTTCTCAAACCTGACATTCCTTCACCTCTGTCAACAAGTCGACGCTCAAACAGCATCAGTAAGCGTTTACTCCTGCCACAACTTGGTCCATGCTACTCCAACAATGGCTACATCAACAACAACGATCAATCTAGTCAATGTGAACACTAGCAATACAAATATCTGTTCGAGTCTGTGATCTAAGAATTTAGCCTTTCGCCACTCGGTTTTTTGCATGTTTGTGGAAGTTTGTCCGAACGGGTTTACCGCAGGGTCATTAGCATGATTGAAAAAGTCGCTGGTTAAAAAACCCCATTAGCACATATCAGCGGTTACCTAGCGCATTATTGAAAAACGCTTATTAACCGTGGGCATGCCAGTTCTCACTCCAAAAAACCAATTCACACAATGGCACAGATGTCGCATTAGTTAGTTGAATATCGAGACACAAAGCTGGCGGTGAACGACGTGCACTATTAACATGACAAATGCAGCGACCCGTGCTATCAGGCAGCCAACGACCTCTGGCAAGCACTATTTAAACGTTCTCACAACCAGAGTTCATAAACTTAGCTAGTCGACAAGATGAAGCATGACCCCAAAGCGTATTATAAAGTTTACCTCCTCCTGCTGGGACTTTTTTTTCTAAATGTTATCGTACTACTTACAAAACCCAATCACACCTCGATCGACGAAACTCAAACAGTGGAGGAGATCCCGCCAAACATGGCCTGCAAATGGCCTCCTTCTACGCGCGAAGACACTCATTATGGAAGAGGGCATAACATAACCCTGTGTGTACGACAGGATTCCAGTGCATCAGAAATAAACACTCCCAAGAAATATCCCCTGAGCAATCTATTTCGTGGTTTGAAAGGTAGAAACGCAATATCATTCGAGGATCTCGGAATGATGCCGAGGCGTTTTTGGAAATTGGCGATATATCCTCAGGTTTATCGTACTTACCCACAGGACGTCCCATTGAAGAGAATTGTCAAATCCGTTAAAGCGGGTCTTCCTGTCACTGATGTAAGTTGACTCGTCGCTCTAAACCACTCGTGCTTGTTGTCCTAGTACAGCGTCAAAAAGAACTATATCCAGATTGAAATAAACTAAATTGCAACAATTAAAAGCACTTCAGTCTGCATTTTTTAGTGCCTAACACGAATTGAGATGAGGTTCAATGGTGACTCTTTCATTATTAGTGGCCGTAAAAAATATATGATGAATGCACATTAAATTGCAATGCAGTTAAAAAATTCCCAACAGGTTTAGCATTGTTCAAAAATGGCTATAATGTGGGTGTCCTTATAATTTCTATGAAAGATCAATTCTTTGGCATAGCGAAGATTTATAAGTGTTCAAAGAATCATACAGAGGTAGAATAAATTGACAGATTGCTTTTTGCAGATGCCTGAGTACAATTTTCCCATACGCATTCTGAAAACCAGCACAAAGGTGTGTGCACGCGATACCCGACACGACCTTGTCATCGTGGTGAAAAGTGGCAATCTGGGGTGGGACGCCAGAACGGCATTTCGTGCCTTCATGCAACGCGAGAAAGCCTGCAGTCCACAGCTCAAGGTGGGAGTCGTCTTCAGTCTGGGAATGCCACGCAAACACGGTGGCAGAATATTCAATCGTGATGGCCACATCATGAGCCTGGATGGAACGGCTGGTGACAGGTTGGAGGAATATGACGGTAAAGCCAATGCAGTTATGGAACAAATAAATCAGGAAATCGAACAATTCGATGACATACTGCTGGGTGACTACGAAGACACGTATTTCAATTTGACGTGGAAGACCGTCACAAACCTGCGATG